CTGTGACCTTTGCAATTAGTCTCCACCCCTCTCTCCCCAGGCAACCCTGCTTCTGATTTCTTTCCATGAAGTCATTCTGGCCTGTTCCAGAACCTCATCTAAACCTGCCCTAATTAAAACACTTTTCTGATTGTCCTTTTAATTTTAATTTACTTTGTTGAGGTGAAATTCACATGCGTGACATAAAAGTAACCATTTTAAAGTGAACGATTCAGTGGTATTTAGTACATTCACCCTGTCCTGCAACCGCCACCTCTCTCTAGTTTCAAAACATTTTCTTCTCCCCAAAAGGAAACTGTAGCCATTGAGTAATCACTCCCCCTTTTCCTCCTCCTCCCAGCCCCTGGCAACCTCTAATCTACTTTCAGTCTCTGTAGATGTGCCTGTTCTGGACATGCTGTAAAGATGGAATCGTACTGGCTTGTTTCATTCAGAATCATGTTTTCAAGGCGTCTCCCTGTTGTAGCCGATGTGAGCACTTCATTCTTTTTTATGGCTGCCTAATTGTCTACTCTATGGAGATGCTGCAGTTTGTTTATCCATTCTTCTGTTGTTGGGCATTTGGATTATTTCTTTTTGTCTCCCACACTGATTTTTAATAATTATAACAAATTAAGTAATATGTGTTCACTGCAGAAAGTTAGAAAATCTAGTGGAACACAAAGAAGGAATACAGATCTCTTGTAACCCACTGTTCCCACTGCCCCTGAAGAAACACCATTGCTATGGGTTGTTTTCCCTTCCAGCTCCGTTATGACTTTGCCCCTTTTCCTTTTATTTATTCGTTGGTTATACAGGAATGGCTCTTTCAGCCTATCCCCTCCAAGGGCCCTCATCCCTAACCTTGAGTCCCTTGTACCTGAAGCCCATCCCTTGACAAGTGCTGGTGTGGTTACATGGTACCCTTGATTGTAGGCCCTGCTGTGGACCTGCTGTGGTACTAGGAGCCCTTTACCTCCATGATCTTGTAAATTAAATCTTTACAGCTGCCTTGTGTGGGGTGAAGGATTACTATTCCCATTTTGCAGATAAGGAAACTGAGGCTAGGAAAGGCTAAGTAACTTGCCATAAACCGAACAGTTGATAAGACACTGACCTCTGATTCTCCCTGGGTCTCCTCCCTTCAAAGCTTGTGTTCCCGTATGGTCCCGCCATGTCACTTCTGGGTGTACATCCAAAGGAAATGAACTTTTGAGGAGGAACCTGCACTCCCATGTTCATGGCCATATTCACAGTAGCTGAGATACAGGAACAACCTCAATGTCCATCAACAGGTGAATGGATAAAGAAAATGTTGGGCCCCCCCACACACATACACATACCATGGAATATTACTCAGCTGTTAAAAAAGAAGGGAATCCTGCCATTTGCGACAACAGAGATGAACCTGCAGGACATTATGCTCAGTGAAATAAGTCAGAGAAAACAAATTACTGTATGATCTCACTTATATGTGGAATCTAAAAAAGTTGAACTTAGAAGCAGAGAGTAGAAAGGTGGTTGCTGGGGGCTGCGGGGGACGGGGAGATGGGGAGAGCTTGATCGGACAGTATGAGCCTCCAATTTCAGGACAAAAAGGTTCTGGACTCTGAAGCACAGCGTGGTGACTCTAGTTAAGCTCACTGCATGGTGTACTTGAAATTTCCCAAGAGAGTAAAACTGTTCTCACCACACACACCAAAAGGGTAACTGTACAGAGTGTTGGACAGGTAAACTAGCTTGATTTTGGTCATCCTTTCACAGTGTCTACAACTATCCCCAAACACCGCAGTGTGCACCTTAAACATAGACAATTTTTGTCAATTATACTTCGGTAAAGCAGGGTAAAAAAAATCTCCCCCAAGACAAAGTCCATGCTCTCAGACCTCTGGGTATTTGCTGTCTGAGTTATCTTTTTAACAATAGATTTTTGCAGTTAAAAAAAGGTAAACAAAAAAATTAAATGTATGTATGTATTTGCTGCTAGCTTTTACATGCATACACACACACACATCAAATGGCCTGGTTTGCTAACTGTCAGAAAGGATGGAGTGGGGGCTTCCTCTGAAGCCCGCTGCTCCTCCTAGAGACTCTCAAGACTCGTTAGGTAGGGGTGTGGGGGTCCCCATATGGGCTTGTCTGATCAGCGCCCCCTGCCCCCGACCGGGCTCACTCTCCCCCACAGAGTCGACCCCGGCTCCCGGCAACAGGGTGATCTTTTCCTCCTATCCTGGTACCATCTTCTCCTGTGATGACTTCTACATCCTGGGCAGCGGGCTGGTGAGTCATTCTCTAGTGTAACCTTTCTCCTGGGGCCAGCTTCTCACCCAGCAGGTAGACTCAGCTGCCACACCCCTCCTCCAGGGCTGACGCTGTTCTCCACCAGGGGGCGCTTGTGAAATGTAGAGCCGGCGCCGCACTCCCCCCTCCCCCACCTTGGCCTCCAAACCCTGCGGCCGTCCTGGGACACTGCACTGTAATGCAACTGCTCATGAATTGCCAGCCTCAGGGCCCTTTTGAAATATCCTTGACCTCAGTGATTTCAACTGATGTTTATGATTTAGGACAAGTCATCCTTCTCCCCACTATGACTCTGCTCTTTCTGGTTCTGCTTTCCACAAAACCCCCTCTAAACCTGGCCAGGCTTTCGGAATAAATGTTGCTTACAATGTGTTGTTTTTATCGGTTGTCCTGGCTGGGTTTCAAACTCTCTTAGAAATCTGTTCCTGGCACCACCATCTGCCGGGGCAGTCAGGGCTGGGAACGTCAGGGCAACAATGCAGGGGGAGGAAAAAACATCACTTAAAATAAAAAAACACCCCTAGATGCAGAAGACACCAATTCTCAGGGAGGGGAAAGGAAGGGCCCTTTTTTTTTCTATTTCCTTTTGAGAGGAGCGTGGGAATTCGTCTGCTTAAACGTGGGAAAAAGCATGAGAGGGGCCAGGCAGTGGGTGAGGAGACCTCCTTCCCTGCAGCTCACGGTGGGCAAAATGGGAATGAAGCCTGGGGAGGGACAGATGAAGTGGTTTAATCCAGTTACCTGAAAAGTGTCCGGGCAGGAAATACACTTTCCACTGGGATTCATAACTGTTTTTGTGCCACAGACTCCTGTGGTGGTCCGGGGAGCTGGGAACCCCTTCTTGGAATGATGCCTTCAAATGCATAAACCAACATACAGGATTATAAAGGAAACCAGTTATATTGACATGCATTTATCGAAATATTATATAAGTACACTTCTAATGTAATATACAAGCACACCTCATTTTAATGCACTTCACAAATCATGGTGATTTTCACGTATTGAAGGTTTTGTAACAACCCTGCATCGGGCAAGTCTATCAGCGTCATTTTTCCAATAGCATTTGCTCATTTCACGTCTCTGTGTCACATTTTGGTAATTCTCACAATATTTCAAGCTTTTTAAAATGATGATTATATTTTTATCGTGATTTGTGATCAGCGATCTTTGATGTGACTATTGTAATCGGGTATTTTTAAAATTAAGGTATGTACATTTTTAGACATAATGCTATTTTTTTAGACATAATGCTATTGCACACTTAATAGAATACAGTACAGCGGAAACAACTTTTTTTTTTTGGAAACAACTTTTATATGCACTGGGAAACCAAAGGTCCATGTGACTTGCTTTCTTGTGATATTTGCTGTATTGCAGCGGTCCCGAAGAGAACCTACAATATCTTGGAGGTCTGCCTATACGTGCTGCTTTATTATCACATTAAATAACAAACTGCGGTTGCACAGGGGCTACCTGCCATAGTTTAGAAGTACAAGGAGCGTAAACAGCATTTTGAGATGTGTGCAACCCTGTCGTGTGGTGGGAAAATGTCTGTGGTTTCTATTGGTGATGGTCTCAGGTACCGCTGATGCCACTGTGGTGTGTCCCCTGCATGAACAGTGCCCTCGACCTTCCCGCAGGTGACACTGGAGACCACCATCGGTAACAGGAACCCGGCCCTGTGGAAGTACGTGCAGCCCAAGGGCTCTGTGCTGGAGTGGATGCGCAACGTCGTGGCCAACCGCCTGGCCCCGGATGGGGACACCTGGGCCAATATCTTTAAGAGGTTCAACAGCGGCACGTGAGTGGGCTCCTGGCACTGGGGCCTGCCCACCTGACCTTCCCGCTGCTCCCATGGGGGACCTGATGTGGCGCCGGGGCCACACCCCACACCTCTGCAGAGTCCTTTCCTTGCATCTGCAGGGAGACAGGCACAGGGAGCCAGGCACGGGGAAAGGAAAGGAGTTGTCCCTCTCTCCTAGGCTCCTCCACCCAGGGAAGGGCTCCCAGAGGAAGGACAGGAATAAACGTAGAACTTGAGCGCTCTGGGGACAGTGGGAGGGCTGTCAGAAGAGGTAGACATGAGTGGATGGAGGCCGTGTGGGCCAGGGACACAGACTGAATAGTGCAGAATCTTAGAACGTTCGGCAGAAGAATTGACCTTTGTTGCAAAAAGCACTAGAGAGCCATGGACTGCTCTAGAGCAGGCAGGCAGCAGGATGAGAGAAGAGTCTGAGGGTGCCTGGTCAAGCCACAGTGTCTGAGTGACAGTTGGAGGGCTGGGCACTCCCAGACCACCCCGGCCCCGTGATTCCTGGCCATGCCTGGCACTGGGGGCAGGGTTGGGGGGCGGGTTGTGGCCGTGGCCTCAAGGTCTGTTCAGTCCCTGGTCCTTGCACACGGCAGGTACAACAACCAGTGGATGATCGTGGACTACAAGGCATTTGTGCCCGGCAGGCCCAGCCCTGGGAGAAGGGTGCTCACTGTCCTGGAACAGATCCCGTGAGTACCCGGAAAGGGCAGGGCACTCCAGTGGAGGGAATTGCTCAGGCAGAGCCCCGGAGGCCTGCTGCAACGTGTGCGGGAAGGGGCCAACCTCAGGAAGGCGAGGCTGGAGGAGAAGGCAGTCCGTGACTGGGGCTAAAGATTCAGGACATAATCTACCCCCAGGCAGCGGGGAGCCATGTCGGGTCCTTGAGCAGGGCAGTGCCCACAGGAGCCTCTTTTCTCACCACTCCTGCCCTGTCTGTCTTGTTGGCCGCAGGGGCATGGTGGTGGTGGCCGACAAGACCTCGGAACTGTACCAGAAGACCTACTGGGCCAGCTACAACATCCCGTAAGTCTCCCTTCCTGGTATCTTGCCCCATCTTTTGGTCGGCTCTCCATACTGGGGAGGGGTCCCTCCCAGGTGATTCTGGAAACCCACAAAGCAAAGAAACCCACCCCAACCCTTTCTTCACCAGGACAGTTTTGGGGTACAGCTGTGGTGTCGGCATTGGTATGGCCTCCCAGGCTGCACCCACTCAGGTGCCAACCCTGTGGTGGCTCCCCGGCGAAGCTACTTTAACTGGGCTGCACACCCATCACCTCTTGACCCTCACTGCACTTCACCTGGGTTATCTCACTTGATCTGCACAACCACTGTGCTGGGTAGCTATGGCCCCTGCTCCCATTTCACAGATGATGAAACTGAGGCCCCGAGAAAGTGCCTAATTTTCCCAAAGTTCCATAGCTGGTCAGCAGTTAAGTCAGGATTTGAACCCACGTCTCTTGGACCCCAGAGCCTTGGCTTGGCCGTCCCACCAAGCCACCCCCTCTACACAAACAAAAGACATGATTATTGCTCTCCTGACTGTCTGGGTGGTTGGTGTTAATGTTCTGGCATGATTGCTCCCTTCACCTCCCTGGCCGTGGCCAGGTGAGGTCAGTGAGGGTTGTGAGTGACCCTCCTGGTCCCCAACAGGTCCTTTGAGTCTGTGTTCAACGCCAGCGGGCTGCCCGCCCTTGTGGCCCAGTACGGGGACTGGTTCTCCTACGATGGGAGCCCCCGGGCGCAGATCTTCAGGCGGAACCAGTCGCTGGTACACGACCTGGACTCCATGATCCGGCTTATGAGGTGCGTGGGGGGCCATGAGCCCAGGGCCCTGTGGAGCTTTATGTATTGATACCCATTTCAACCTCACGAACAAGCCCAGGGGCCAGCGGGGGGCGGTGAAATGTGGAGCAGCCGGTACAGCGGCAGCCCTCTTGCCCTCCTCGTGTTAGAGGTAAGGATGCTGGGCAGCTGTGCAGCGACCACCCCTGCTGGGCTCCGTGCTTGGTACTGGGAAACGGGCACAAAACATCCCCCCTGCCCCATCCTCGGGGAGCACCCTGCCCGTGGGGGATGCAGAAATCCGCCACGTATTCATGCTGGTGTGGATGTGTAACTAGGACCGTCCAGGCTCCAGGCGATGCTATAAAAGGACAAAGCGGGGTCTCCAGCCTGGCTTGGGATGGGGGCCCAGAGGGATTCCCAGAGGAAGGGACAGCTGAGCGGAGGAGGCCTGAGTGATGGGTGTGGGGTGACTAGGTGAAGGGGGCTGACGGAAGCCCAGGTGGTGGGAGGGAGCCAGGCACACTGAAAGCGGGTGGCTGGGTTAGGGTTGGGGGGCTGCGGCCATGAGGGGTCTGGCCTTCTTGCCCAGCACTGATATTTCCTCCCCTTCCGCGTCCAGGTACAACGACTTCCTGCACGACCCTCTGTCACTGTGCAAAGCTTGCAGTCCCAAGGCCAATGGGGAGAACGCCATCTCGGCCCGCTCCGACCTCAACCCAGCCAACGGCTCCTACCCCTTCCAGGCCCTGCACCAGCGCTCCCACGGGGGCATCGATGTGAAGGTGCCGGGCCTGGGGCTGTGGGTGGGGTCAAAGCTGGGGGCTGGGCATCAGTGCCTCTCAGGTCGGGACAGCTTAACCACCTGCCTTCCCCCCACCCCCAGGTGACCAACATGGCACTGGCCAAGGCCTTGCGCCTCCTGGCGGCCAGTGGCCCCACGTGGGACCAGCTGCCCCCGTTCCAGTGGAGCACCTCGCCCTTCAGCCGCCTGCTGCACATGGGCCAGCCCGACCTCTGGAAGTTCTCGCCCATCGAGGTCTGGTGGGACTGAGGCTCCTCCTCTGCTCTGCTGCCTTCCGCCCGTGCTGACCCCAGCAGGGCCACCCCACCGGCTGCCACCCTGAACTCCTGCCTGCCTCCTTGAGTGGGCATTGCCCCCTGCTGTGCCCAGATCTGGGACCTGGGTCAGCCAGACCAGGTTTAATCTCATCTAGGTGGCCTCCTGGGTAGGGCGTGGAACCTGATGGAGCCCAAGACTGACTCCTTCCCCATCTCCCTCTCCATGTGCGTATCTCTCTCTTTCTCTCCCCCTACTTCTCTCTGTGTGTCTCTGTCTCTCTGCTCTCCCTGCCCTGCTTTCTCTTTCATTCTGGAGCTGCATCATCATACTGCCCCTTCCCGAGGGCCAGAGAGGAGTCCTAGGATCAGGTTCTGGGGCCCCCAGTGGGGCAGGCAGGGGGGGCCTGTTCCCGTCCCTACGTCCCTACCTCCCAACATCCTTCTGGCTAGAGGCTCTGGAGCTTTGGGGGTTTCAGCCCCGCCCCAGACCTGGGCGTGGCCTCAGGTTGGCATCTCTCCTCCCAGCCCCCAGCTCCGCCCGCTCTGCTCCTTCTGGAAGCAGCTCCCCTGTTTCTCCTCCTGGACAGCTTCCTTGAGGACAGAAAACAAACAAAAACCAAAGTCCCTGGCAACTTGTGGCCAGAGGGGCCCGAGTGTCCTCTCTCCAGGGGCAGGCAGGAGTGTCAGCCCCTCCAGCCCCAAGCCCGGGCCTGCCCCTGGCCTCAGGGCAGTGTCCTCTGGTCCCCTCCTGTGGGAATGAGATCGCAGGCTGTGCCCCAATTAAACAAGAGAGGCCTTGGCCCCTGTGCTGTGCTTTTTGGGGCAGTGGGGACGGCTGGGTGAGTGCCTTTTGACTCAGGTTTGGGTTCTGCACCATTCACCCATGTATCCTCTATCCTCCTGCCCATCCTTCTGTCTGTCTAGCGTCATCCATCTGCCAAGCCACCCACCCCTTGTCCATCTGCCCAGCCATCTATCCATCTGTCCATCCATTTCCAATCACCTGTTCGTCCGTCATCCATCCACTCATCCATCTACCCATTCCTCCATCTGTTCATGTCTGTCGGACCATCCATTTATCCATATGTTTATTGAACACCTGCTTCTGGGTCCTGTTGCAGGGCCCTGTTAACCACCAAGACCTTCCCATGTCCTACTGGGGGGTATAGGTCAGCACAACACAGAACCCCTCCCCCTCTGATCTTACCCAGAGCCTACATTGGAATCAGGACTTGCTCAATGCTATGTGCTTGGAGAGAGGAAATCACACAGCCCTGGAGCCAAGGGCCTGGGTTTGAATCCTGTCTCCACTTCTTACTAGCTGTGGGACTTAACCTCTCTGAACTTCTGTTACCTCATCTGTGAGATGGGTGAATGATGTGAACAGCGCTTCCCTGTGTGTGAGGTCGGCGGGGGCGGTGGTACGGATTTGCTGTACCGGTGGCTGTGACGTAGCCCACACGGGGGCTTACACACTCAATGTTCATTCTTTGGCAACAATTTATCGAACGCTAAGTACACGCCAGGCATGGTTATAAGGTCCTAGGGATACCTTATAACAACAGGTACCAACCCCCCGCCCCAAATCCCTGCTCTTGTGATGTTTACATTGGGTGGTAGACAGTACAGAAAATAAACTTACAGTGTGTAAGATGCTGGTAACTGCTCTGGAGAAAATAAAGCACGGTTGAGGTTTGGGGTTGGGTTTCCTGTTTCTCACTGCTGCTTTACAATTCCTGTTACCTGGGATTCGACAACTTGAGATTCTAAAAACTAACTTTTCTGCCAGTACATTTCCCAGCTCCCTAGAGGGTCTTGTCTTTCCTGGAGTCTCTTGAGCTCCCAACAGCCCTGTTAGGTGGGAGAGGCCGAGATACTCACGTCAGAGCCAGGATGGGGGCCCAGGTCTGCACTCTCCCGTGGGACGCAGCGCTCCCTCCCCATCTCCTCGTGACAGCGGTGCCAGCCCCAGCGGGACAGTGGTCACCCCACCTGCTGTGTGCCAGGCAAGGGATCTTCCCAGCCACTCCTGAGGCTGAAGCGTCTGTGACACCCATTTGGCAGATGAGCACTTAGAGGCTCAGGCTGGTGGTGGAATTTAAACATGTCTCGTCTGTTCCCCTAAAATTATTTCTGGTCCCTCTTTCTGCTTTCCAGGAGTTGAGGGTGGGTGTGGAGCTAGGGCAACTAAACAGAGTATGAGGGATCATGTAGATGGTCCTCCACTGGAGCTGCAGCTGATCCGGGAAAGGCAGAAGCCACCTTTGCAGGGGCAGCTAGAAAGGCAGTTTCCTTCAGCCCCTGTGCGCTGGGGAGTTTCCCACAATCCTGTTTCAAGACGCCGCCGCAGGACCATCTATGGCTTCTGCTCTCCCCTGCAGGACAAGGCTCTGGCCAGTTGGTCCCGCCTCGCTTCTTCGGGGGATTTTGTGCCCAACTCAAGCAGGATTGTGGAAACCGAAAGCAATCTTATTCTGGGTAGATCTTCCAGAACTGAGTGCAATTTTAAACCCTCTATATGCCCTGGAAACAATTGTGGGGCTAGAGAGCCGGTAATTTCCTGTCCCTGCGTGCCCTTTCTTGGCGCCCTGTCTCCTGGTTTTTTTTAAGTACACCTGCTGTCCCCCCTGGCTGGAAATCAGTATGTGGGCTTTTTGCTGGGGTGGGTTTTCCCTGAAATCTCCCAGCACTGGCTCTTTATAGAAGTGCTTGGGCGCTCTGCCAGCCTGTGTGGATCTGTGTGGTGTCCTGCGGGGTTAGACTGGTTCTCAAACTTCACTTTGAACCTGGGGATCCCAGGAGTTGCTATAGGTGGTGCAGGGACCTTCTTGAATAGTTGCAGGAAGCCAGGAGGAGGGGGCGGCGGGGAGGACTCCCTCTAGGACCCTGAGGCAGCCCTGGCACTTCCTCTGCTGTCTCGTTTTTGGCTTAGTTTCTGTGCTGTGCTTGGAAGAGAGGGTTTACAGGACATTAATCAAAGACGTCAGAGTGTCAGTTTACACACACCCAGAGATGGCGGGGCTTACTGCTCCGCTTCCAGTGGTTCGGTGATAAAATCATTGTTATTAAGAAGGACTTCCTATCAGAATGAGGCTTCATCTGCCTTCCCAGCTGGTTCTGCCTCCGGTGGAGGCAGCCCTCATCCCATCCCAAGCCCCTCTTGTTTAGCACCGTTCCCCTCACCTGCTCCCTGCCATGCCCTCTTCTGGCTCATAAACCCAGCTGTTGTAGGGGTCCTGGCGTCCATGTGGTGCCCCAGGGGTGGGGTGTGGAGGATAGGGGTGCTCAGTGTTGAGAGCCGGGGGGTGGCAGCAGGCATGGTAGGGTGGAGGGAGGGGAGGGAGGAAGACAGCCATGATGGAAGAACTCAAAGGATCTCCGTTTCAATAAACAGATTTTCTTTTTCAGTAAAAAAGCTTGCACAATAGAAAAGCGAGTAAGGGTGGTCTTTTCCTGGGAGGGAAGACAAGATGGTTCTTCAACCCTGGACCATGGCCCTGTCCGCTCTTTCAGGGAGAAAGCCCAGATGAGGGACACCTCATTTCAAGGTCCCTCCCTCCTGCTCACCCTGCTCTGGGCACCTGGGCAGTTGTCACCCTGGCAGGGGTGGATGAGGGTGGCCATAGAGCACTCACACTGAAGATGTTGCGTTCACAGCCTCGCTGGCTGGTGTCCTTCTGGCCCCTCTGCACAGCGGGTTCATGAGAACGTGAAAGCTAGTGGCTGGCCCAGGCGGGCCACAGGCTCACCACAGACAGGAAAGATATTTACAGTGGATACAACTCCAGCCCTGCCAGGGGTCTCCTGAGTAGGGGAGGAGGGCACCTGGCCCTCACTGCGGCAGCCTGTTCAGGCCCAGCTGTTCCTTGAGGGCCTGCAGCTGGGCCAGGCTAATGTTGCTGCCGCCACAGACAATGACCACGACGGAGGACAGCGGGCTGCAGAGTTTCCCTTCTCCTTGCAGCTTCTGAACCACTTTGCTGTAGATGGCGGCTAGGGCTGCCCCACAGGCGGGCTCCACCAGGATCTTCTCATCATCTGCCAGAGGAGGGGATGGTGAGGGTAGAGCAGAGCAAGGTGCAAGGGAACTGTCTGGCCAGTGGTAAAGTATGAGCCAGTCAGCTCTCAGCCCTGGTCACAGACTCATCCTGGACCAATACCCCCATCATTACCCTGCATTGACTTTTCAAGGCCTGAGCTAGGGCTGGCTTTCATCATCAGTGCTAACACTGATAAAATGATAATAATTTCTGGAGCACTGTGTTGAGAAGGATTCTGAAGCATCATCTGAGCCAGAGTGCCAGAGTTGGTTAGCCAAACTGTGGGTGTAGAACTGTGGCAGCATAAATACTCCAGTGTGTGTGTGTGTGTGTGTGTGTGTGTGATCCCTGTCCTGGGATGAACCCATTAAGAGTCCAACTTAGTTACAGACCCACCTCTGAATCCAACACTGAGGTCCATAGTTTCCTTTTTCACCCTGGCTACCAGGAAGCTCAGAATCAACATTTTTAAATACTCAGTTATTGTTCCTTGTTGTTATAATTATCAGAATTACCTCTTCATTTGTCCCTTTGGTCTTTCTATTTTTGCCACTGCACTGTATTAACTTTCATTAATCAGAAGTTCTGGGAAGGGACAGGAAATGGAGCTATGGATAGAATTCCTTGGCATGCAAGTGGACAGCTGCTTAGGTCCTTAACCAGTAGGGTGGGGTCTTGAAAGGACTTGGCACATACCTGCAAACTTCTCAATGGCGGCCACAGCCTCCTGGTCTGAGATGACTTCAGAGAGAATGGGCTGTTCCTGAAACACCTTCATAGCCTGAGCCGTCACAGTGGTCACGCCCAGGGCTTTGGCAACACTGGGAGAGGCAAGGATGGAGAAGGGGGGAAACAGAGATGGGTGAGAGAGGAGGGAGGCAGAGGCCCGAGAGACACGAAGATGGATGTAAGAGGGAGGAGGCAACTGGGGTTTGTGGGCAGGGGGAGGGGGCGTACCTTCTGCAGCTGGAAAACATTAAGTCCCAGGGGCTCACTGAACAGAGTGGAGCCTCCCAAAAAGGCACAGATCACTTGAATTGGAGTAAATAGCATCATTTTCTGTTCAATATTGACTCAGGAGCAAATGCCTCATAGGACTCCCACCCTTGGCTCCAGGTTGTCATCTTACCTTCTTAATTAACCTCTGCTAAGCTTAGCACTGCTCTGCCTGCCCACCCCGGCCCTGTCCTTTTTCAAGGCTTAGGATTAAGGCCACCTCCTCCAGGGAATCCTCTAAGGAAAGCACCCAGTCCCGTGGCCCCAAGGGGAATTCTTAAATGATCCCCCCGGTAACACATAGTGGTTACTTCCTGAAAAAGCACTTCGCAAGCATTGTTTCATCTTCACAACAGTTTTTGTCATTAATTTGTTTGATTTTATAGAAGGGAAAGGTGAGGCAGAAAGTGCAGTCCTTCCTATTAATGACAAACTCGTCTAACCCAGTATTTATTCTAGCTGCACATAAGGTCGCCTGATGATTTTCCAGCCTTCCCCTGCAGTAGGTGTGGCCATATGACCAAGTTCTGGTCAATAAGCGGTAAGTGGAAGTATTATGTGTCTTTAACGGGAGTGGGCATGTTTTCTGTCCTGATGTTCTTCTTCCTGGCAGATGGAGTGTGGGTGTGATAGCTGGCACTTCAGCAGCTATTTTAGGCCATAAGTCTACATGATAAGGATGATGGTGACACACTCAAGGATCCTGAGCTCCTAGCTTCATGGAGTTGCCCCTGGACTGCCTACCTCTAAAATTTTTTTTACGCAGGAGAGGAAATAAAGTTCAATTTTGTTTAAGCCATTGCTGTTTTGGGCTCTTACATAATGTGGCCAGACCTCATCCTGAACACCATCTGTCAAAGGTTTGGAGCTGGGATAGGAGCTCCTTGGGAGCAGAAGCTGTGTTTATTCACGACTCTCTCCCCAGGATCAGCCAGTGTCTTGCGCAGACTGGGGATTCAGCCAACGGTTGGTGAATTAATGAGGTGTGTAAAACTCTGCCCCAGAGGAATCCAATAAATGATTACTATTAGACTTGTCATTTGAGGAAGCGTGATGTTCATGGTACAGAGTCACAAAGACTCGGGTTCAGTCCTGGTCATAGCACTCATGGGCTGTGTGACTTTGGGCAAGTGACCAAAGCCTCGATTTCCTCACCTGTAAAATGGGGCCAGCATCAGGGTCTACCTCGCAGTCAGCACCAAAGAGGGGAGCTCTTGGGCGGCAGGCCTGGCTGCTTACCTGGTAATCCGTGGCAGAGTGACAAGCCGGCCAGCCTTGGTGGAAGCATAGAAGCTCTCAGCTCCAATGGTTTCCATGGTGATGATGGGCACGTCCCCCCAGCCCACCTCCAGCAGTCCCTGGGCCACTCCACACAGCAGGCCTCCACCTCCCACCGCCAGCACGATAGCCCCTGGCTTTTCCTTCATCGTCTCCTTCAACTCCTTCACAATGGAAGAGTGGCCTTCCCTGGAGAGTGGTGGGAGGCAGGTCAGGGCTGGGCTTCCTGGAGGCACTCTGGTTCAGGTTCCACACTGGTTCCCAGGGGCCCCGAGGGATTAAGCTCCAGCTACCCCAGCAGTCACTGGCCCATTCACACCCTTTACTGGCTTCCTTCCTCATCTCGTGTCCTCACTGCCCAGGTCAACTGCATTCTCTGAAATCTCTGCCTCGGCGTCTGCTTCTGGGGTCCCGGTCACACACACTTGTGTATCTGAGCCCACATGTTCACTCATGGCCATGGACCACGGGCTTGGGTGCACAGGTGTGGGTACCAGCTGCATGTCCGTGTATGTGCTTCTGTGTGATGGTATGTACACACATATGTACCCCGCTGTGTGTGATGGGGTGCATCATGGCAGATATCCACTCAGTGGTGTAGTGGGGTGACCACGACCCACCCTGGGTGACCCTGGGCTCCACGTACCAGATGAGGGGGTCGTCAAAGGGAGGGACATAGACCCAGCCTTGGTTGTTCTTCACCAGGTCCTTGGCCAGCTTGATAGCTTCATCCAGTGTCTGCAAAATCACAGGGGAGGCGGGAGGGATGAAGGGCTGGGGGACCTGGCCCTGCTACCAGGTGCCTTCTGTGCCCTCCTGCCCCAAGTTGGCACTCACCTCACCTACCACCTTGACCGCGGCGCCCTCATTCTTGAGCCGCTGGATGGTGAGGGCAGGCGTGGTGCTGGGCACGACAATGGTGGCTGGGATGTTGAGCTTCCTGGCCGCGTAGGCGGCTGCCATCCCTGCATTGCCCGCTGCCGGGGTGGGGGTGGGGGTGGAAAGTTAGCGTGGGGCTGCTCACCCCCAACCTCAAGGCTCTGAATCCTCCCTGGGTGACTGCTGGCCTCCCCCTGGAATTCCAGATTGGGACTTCTGCGGATGTTTGCAACGGCTCATTGCTGAGAAAACCAGGGCCCAGAGAAGTGGAGCACCTGGCCCCGGGACACACAGCAGAGGACAGGAGGAGGCACGCAGGCCGCTTACCTGAGGAGCAGACGAAATGTTCACAGCCTCGCTCGGCCCACTGTGGAGACAAAGCGGGGGGCATTGGGCACGGTTCTTCCCTCTTTCATGGCTTACTTCCCAATGATTTCAGCATACACTGACCTCTCCCTCCATCATGGGGAATTTGTGCTCCCTAGCCTCTCAGATGACACCATCCCCCACAAAGAGACTGGCATAGGGAAGGGTGACGGGGAGGCAGGCAACTGATGGCCCCGGGATCAGTCTACCAGGGGACCCTCTGGACGGGCACCCCTAAAGCAGGGGAGGCGCTAATGGTGGATGCTCAGGCATTGTGGGGAGTCAGCAGGGGCCAGCCTGCAAGTCCTTGGGTTTCACAAGGCACTGGCCGTTTCCTGTCGAGAAGGAGGAACTGCCACCCCCGCCCAGATGATACAGAGCCTGTCCCATACCGTCTTGCAGAGGTGTCCAATGCCTCGGATCTTGAAGGAGCCGGAAGGCTGGGAACTGTCTATCTTGAGGTAGACGGTGGTCCCAGCAACTTTGGACAGGGTCATGCTGTCACGGAGGGGGCTTTTTACGTGGAGGGGTTCTCCTGATGCCATTGCTGTAAGAAAGGAAGAAAACCCAGAGGGTCAGGGGAGCTGGCCCTGGTGCCAGCTGCTGCCGTTCAGCAGGCAGTGTGGCTAGGAGGGATCCTGTCCCTCACTTCCCAGGAGGCCGAGGACAGGACCCAGATTATAGTGTCCTGAAAACCTGAGCTCAAATCTCAACTCCGCCACCTGCTCACCACGTGATGTCAGACCAACACTCTCCCCTCAGCCTCAGCTGCCACATCTGTAAAATGGGCATAAGGGTCATCTCTCCCAACCCCTACCCCCACCACATAAACACACACACACACCATGCTGGGAGGCTGTGAACATCAGAAACAAAGTTCAGACCTTGCAGTTTTGGAAGAGTCCACTGTGGAAATTAATTTGCAGGTGCTGATTCAGAATGAGATGCAAGATGGTTAAGTGGCTGAAACAGGGGCGGGATATCAGATATAGTCTTTGCAAAAAATGCAGGGACGCACGCACACACATGCAATCCACATGCTTCCGTGTGCGCAAAACATCTCAGGAAACACACACAAGAAACTGGGCAGGGTAGGGGGGCCTCTGGGGAGAACTGGTACTTGGCATCCCCTTCTGTACCGTTTGAATGTTTGCCATGTGCATATCCATTACTTATTTAAATACATTTTTTAATTGAAGTATAGTCGGTTTACAGTGCTGTGTTAATTTCTGGTGTACAGCGCAGTGATTCAGTTATACATATATATATTTATTCCTTTTCATATTCTTTTTCAGTATAGGCTATTATAAGATATTGAATATAGTTCCCTGGGCTATACAGTAGGGCCCTGTTGTTTATCTGTTTTATATATAGTAGTTAGTATCTGCAAATCCCAAACTCCCAATTTATCCCTCCCCAACCCTTTCCCCACCTGACAACCACAGTTTGTTTTCTGTGTCTGTGAGTCTGTCTCTGTTTTGTAAATAAGTTCATTTGTGCCTTTTTTTTTTAAGATTTCACATATATATGGCATTCAATGGTATTTTTCTTTCTCCTTCTGGCCTACTTCACTTAGTACGACAATCTCCAGGTCCATCCATGTGGCTGCAAATGGCATTATTTTATTCTTTTTTATGACTGAGTAGTATTCCACCATGTTTTTTGTATCTAACCTTTGGAAAGCCGTACCCAGTTAGGGGAAGCTTTTTATTACTGTTATTTTTAATAATCATGAGTATATTATTTAACAATCACTTCTCAGTTGATTATCATGTGCCAGGTAGTTTTAAGTTTTACAGATATTAACTCATTTAATTCTTTTGACAGTCCCAGGAAATGCCATTATTAGCTTGTCTTCCTGTTGAGGAAACGGGCTCTGGGTATGTTTTCAGGTTGACCCCTGGGAGCGATTCCCACCCCACATGCACCTCCTACCAAGTGACAGTGATGGTTTTCTAGGTGGGAAGGAGGGTCTGTGCTTTCTCCCCTTGAACTTGGGGGAAGTAGAGCACTGTGGTTGCAGTAGAAGTGACACTATGTGACCTCCAAGCAGTGTGTGCTGGGCAATGTTTAACAACGGCCTCTCCAAAGGGAAAGAAAGCCCTGATTTCCAGTGTGGGCGCTCCCCTGCTGTATATACCCCGACCAAGGTCAATTTCAAGCCATCAATAGGATGTCGCTGAACAAGGGGCTGGGAAGAGGTGGACACAGTCCACTCCTGAGAGCCTGTGTGAGCCGGCCCGAGGGCAGTAGCAAGTCTCCCAAGGCTGGGTCCTAAAAGGCAACCTAGCCTCCCCATCTGCTCTCTCTCCGGAAGCTCCCTGTCTGAACCCAGCCGCCTTGATGGGAGTGAGCCCAGGCTGCGTGCGGAGGCCACAGGTAGGTGCCCCGAATGCAGCTCCAGCTGAGACCCCTGATGCTGGCCGGACATGGGACCCGGCTTAGGGATGACTCAAGCCCGGCCACTGTCCTCACACTGCAGCCCCCAAGGGAGGACTGCTGGGCTGGGTCGAATCAAGGCGCAAAGTCATTCACAGATAGTGAAATATTTGCTGTTGTTTTCCGTCACTCGCCTTGGGACAGCTTGTCACACGGCAGAACTGGAGTATTGACGTGACTTGCCCAAGGTCACACCGCTAGTGAGCTGGGGAGGTGGGATTTGAGCTCAGGCAGTCAGTCTAGGCCCAGAGCCCAGGCTCTCTCCGGGGCACATGGGTGTGACTCAGGCCCTCCGGTCAGCACGTCTGCCTGGACTCAGGGTGACCGTGAGGATGAAGTGGCCCAGACTCCGGCCACACCCCTGCATACTCAGGCCAGCTTCCCATCACTGTACCTCCTGCTGAGTCACAGGGGAAACTGATTCTCCTTAACTTGGTTTGACCCAGAACTGACCAGAGGGTGGTTGGGTAAGAAGCCCATCCGATTTCCCTGAAACAGAGCAGGAACCTGTGGGGTCCTCTGTGGTACAAGTCCTTTCCATGTCCCTTCTTTTTTGTTTATAAGAAATAGGCTTCATTCAGCCTCTTTGATCTTCCCCGAGTTCCAATGGGCAGATTCAAACAGCTGCTCATCAGGGAAGTGGGGGTGATGCAGAGACAAAGGAGGAAGAGTTGAGAAACAGTAGTGCAGCCTTGGAGCAGGGTGCTGGTTCCTCCTCAAGGAATAGACGTAATGTCTCTGAGTTCTTCTGCAGGAACTAAGGCCCCCTCCCTGACCCAGGTGGAGGATGGTAACTTCAGGCTGAGCACAAGATTCCTGGAGCCCCGCCCTGTTCCCTCCCCACCAACCAGGGTGGGAGGCATCGACCCCAAAGACCCCTTTCAGGTGGACTTGGGGAGGTCCCCCCCAACCTGTCTCCTATTGCACCATTGGATGCCTTTGGGTGACAAGGCAGGGATCCCCCTCGGTCAACCTGGGGTAAAGCCAACATCTGTAAACCTCATGGGGCAGCCATTCTCACCTGCTGCTGGAGGTGAGACTTCAGAAAAGATTTTGTCCCAGGCGTGGAGGAGGAAGGGGCGTGGGAAACTGCTGTCTGCCTACCTGTCACCCTGCAGTCAGAAGTTACTTCCCCTCTCACTTGGCTCATAGGAAGAGTTTGATAAAAATTTATAACTATTATTATATCTAGACTGGACACTCAGAGTGCATTGTCTCATTTCACTTCCATAATGACCTTAAGAGGAAGGTTCTATTATTAACCTGTTTTACAGATAAGGAAACTGAGGCACAGAACGGGTGGTGAATCCAGCCAGTCTGGCTTCAAAGCGTATGGGTTTTTATGCTCAACTGCCTCTACCTCCCCTCCTCCCCTGGGAAAATCCAGGCTGGCCGCAGGCACTCCAGTCCTGGGGATGAAGCTCAGGATGGGGCTGCTTACCGGTAAAATGCAATGAGCTAGGCAGCTGGGATAAACTGGAGATGGTCTAGATGGGTGGACTGGGTAGACAGTCCACAGACAGATGCAGAGCAGGACCGGTGGACCGTCTTCAGGTTAGTCTCAGGGGCTAACGGGTCCCGGCTTTATTCCCCCCGGCGCCTCCTAGGCAGCCAATAGGGCCCCAGGGCCGGCCACACCCCCGCCAGGACCCGCCCCTGACTTCCAGGAGAGTAACCAGAAGCCGGTGTGCTTTCCAGGAAGCGTCTTCTGCCTCACCCAGCCCTGCTTTCTTCCTCCCCTTCCCCACTCGCGGCCTCTTCACTTGTAAATGGGATCAAATAACCCACGTCCCCAAGGGCTTTCAGCAGACTGCAGAAGATGGTGTGGGATAATGCATCTTCAAGTCGCCAGCACATGCTGGCCTCCTCTGACCTCCCACTGGCACTCCCCAGCCCCCTCCTCGGTGGGACGTTCACAGGTGTGTGTTGGGGATACAGGGTGAGGAGCTGAAGTGATGTGGGCGTCGTGAAACTCACACGTAGACGCGGCCCCCCCCCCGCCGCCGTGTGCATCTGAGTGTATACAGCTGGCACTCAACATTGCCCCAGCATCTGCTTGTGCCCGATTCCATGTCAAATGTTTCCCATGTGGGGTTTCGCTTAAGTCTCAGACAGCCAGGTGAGTGGGCATCTTGAGCCTCGTGTCACAGGTGAGGAAAGAGGCTCAGAGGTGAAGTAAAATTTGCCCCAGATCGCCCAGGATGAAATGTGTCGACCGAAATAAAAACACACAATGTGAGAGCTGTGAGTTTCAGGTTGATTGGGGGATTTAGTGAGGAGGCAGCCTTGGAGACAGCCTTCCAGAGGAGTCTGAGGAGCAAAAGAGGTGGTGGTGGTGGGGTCCATGCATATATGATTTTGGTGATAGGGGTACGTGCAATCAACACATCTCAGTAGAAGGTTGCTGCTCGTCACGAGGACCAGATATCTCCGTTAATGATTTTAGTGCTCTTCTAGGTATGAGAAGATGCAAGAAATCAGGTTCCTAAAATTTCCTTTTGAAGATATCCGACTGTCGGCCTGTTCTGCCAGTTTTGCCAGAGCACAGAGTGCCTCATTCCGGACCTCCGCCCTGTACTCCTTTCGGGGTGTGTGGAAGGTCAGCGACTGCAGTGGCTCGTGACTTCATTCTTGTAGAACCAGATGATGAGTGACATTTTTTTTTTAGTTGTCAAATGCAAATTCAGGAATTCTGAGTCCTTTATGAGCACGATGCTGATGGGCTGATGGAGGGGGTGGAGGTGGGGGTTGGAGAGGACATCTGGCCCTGCCTGGTCACATTCAGAAGTCCCAGATTTGGGCTTTTGATGCAACCTCCATATGAGGAAGGCAGCAATCTTGAGTATTGAATTAATCTCTGTTCCAGTGCAGCAGTGCCCCGATTGGGTGGTGGGGAGCTGGAGATGGTGGATACAAGATGATTAATTCTTTCTTTTGACCTCCTATGTAGTTCCATTTGTTTCAACAAGAATGTATCACTGCTAGTGGGGAGGGTGTAGCTTAGTGGGAGAGCATATGCTTAGCATGCAGGAGGTCCTGGGTTCATTCCCTGGTACCTCCACTAAAAAAAATTAAATAAATAAAAAACCTTAAGTACCTCTCCCACCCCCTCAAAAAGAATGCATCACTCCTGTGATTTGAAAACCATTGCATTAAGAAAATCAAGCATGTAAGAAAGAAAAAGACAAAATATTTGTCACTGTTGTTGACATCTTGCCTGGGCATTTTTAAAAAAAAAATCACTTTATTGAGATGTAATTCACAAAGCATGCAATTCACCCCTATACAGAGTATCAGTTTTAGAACATTTTCATCATCACACAAAGAAAGCCCATACCCGTTAGCAATCACTCCCCTCTCTCTAGCCCCTGGCAACCACCAACCTGCTTTCCGTCTGTGTGGCTTCTCCTATTCTGGACATTTCATGGAAACGGAATCATATAGTATGTGGCCTTTTGTGTCTTTCACTGAGCATCCCATTTTCAAGGTTCACCCACATTTAACATGTGTTCATGCTTCATTTCTTTTTATGTCTCAATAGTATTCCATTGCAGGGATAGACCACATTTTTTTTTATTATCCATTCAGCAGCTGATGGACATTGGTCTCTGAGCATATCGTCATTTTAAAATATATTAAGAACTATGTACAGGTTTCCGTGTTCCATCATGTGAATGGGAACCCGAGACCCTAAGAGGCAGGGGGCTCACACGTCACCTTGGGGAGCAAATGGAGCAGAGAACCAGGTAGAGTGGCAGTTGATGGGGACATTCTGGCAGTCAGCTGCTAGACGGTCTTGGGGAAGAGTGGTTGTCGTCACGGTGCAAACCTCAGGGAGATCAGTCCATGCCTGTGACCCCAGCATCCAAGGCATATCATTTTCTATGTTTCAGTGAGTCAGTTTTCCTGCCAGGCCCAAGTTCAAATCCAACTTTTGCCTGGAACTTGCTGTGTGACCTTGGACAAGTCACTTAACCACTCTGGGCCTCAGTCTCTTTAGCTGATAGTAGTACCCACCTCTTAGATTTGTTATGGGGGACCTAATTAATGTCACGTTGCAAGGACAGTGCCCATCGAATGGTGGGCACTTAATAGGTGATGGCCATTTTCATTTTCTGTGACTCAAGAGGGCATTTGCATCACTAGTTCTGGGTAATGGGGCACAAGGGCTTTTCTCTCTGATCTAGTCCTCCTTTGAAAGGTTTTGAGAAGCAAGGGAGGAGTGATTCCCCATTCAACAGATGGGCAATCTGAGGTCCGGGTCTGTCCAATGCAGAAAGGCAGGGGCAGAGCTGGTAGTCCCAGGAGGATGGGTGGGAGTTTGGCTGCAGAACCTTGGGTAAGTTGCCTTCCTCACCTCTGCCTGCTGGCTCCGTTACATCACACAGTCCCGGGAAGTGTCCCCGAGAGTGGTCAGATCAGCGTGTCCTTGGCTGTGGGAAGTGGGAGGGCTGACGATTGTTTTCACAGATTGTAGAGGAACCAACAGCTCTCACCTCTGTTTGCGCTGGCTGACCAGCCCCAGAGTCTCCTGATTGCTTAAACGCCTCTGGCTCCTGAGTCCATCAGATCTGGGCTGAAACTGACATCCAGCTGTGAGACCTTGGGCTGGTCACCTAACTTCCCTTAGCCTCAGTCTCCTGCCCCGAGAAATGAGGACAATGACATCTACTGGATATTGCAAGACAGAGATAATGGCAGCCCAGTGTGAGGCATGAGGGAGGGGCTCAAAGAAGAGTAGTTGTTACTATGGTTACCTTTGGTGGTGGTATAATTATCCAGAACTCTCTTACACCTCTGGTCCGCTTTTCCTGAGTCCTCCCTCCAGACCTGACTCCTCATTCATGTTTATTCCCCTTCAGGTCTGGACTGGAGCCTCTTTGAGACTCTGCAGCCTGGCAGCTGCTGGAGAATCTCCCCAGGGGAACCATGAGCAGCCTGAGGGCAGGTTTGTTACTAACTTGTTCTCCGCTGGAATCCCCACGCCTCTGTCCATTCACTCAACATCCTATATTGCACAGGACAGCACCCGCACGGCACAACAAAGACTTGTCTGGCCATAAATGTCCGTAACACTGAGATTGAGAAATTCTGCTTAAGGTTAACATGAAACGAGACTATATCCTCCCTTGTTCTAACTTCTCTACTTCTGTTAATAGGACCAGGTAAAATTAATCAATCCCATACGGGCAAAATGTGCGTTATCTGGAAAGCTGTTTTTCTATGTCCAGCTGCTACTCAATCAACCCCAAGGAAGTTAAAAGATTTTTTTTTCTTGGTGAGATTGATACAACCCAGCCAGGCCTCCCTTGTTTTGGACTTGAAGCATTTCACCTCTGTGACCCTGACTGTAGGACTTGGCAGCTAGCCCTCTTCATTTTTGTTCCCCTGACTTCAACCCATCACTCGATTTGGCTGAGATCTTTTGGAACCCTCCTTGGGCCATTTGAGGGCGCTGTCTGTGGTGATAAGTCATCCCCCAAAATGACAAACAGCTCTTTGATGGGCCCTTATGACTAAAACTGGCCACAGCTCAGGTCAGGATCCCATGGCCACACTGGAGCTTCCCCCTTGGGGTTACCATCACCCGTCAACCAACATGTGATGGGTGGAATTGGTCCAAATGGCCTGTGAGGGATTTTGTCCAAAGTTCACTGAAAAAAAATCAAAATATTTGCAGTGGGAGTCAATCTCAGAGCACAAACCACATGTGCAACAAATGAAAACTTCTTCATTTCCCTCTAACTTGGCTTAATATTTATTTCAAACAGATAATTGGTTGGAGGCAGTGAGGGGATCCCCCTGCCCCGGGGGCGGGCGTGGCAGCGACATTCCAGGGCTGAGTCAACACAAGATGGAGTGGGGATGTTTCCTGGTCCTCAGTTGTCCCCCAGCCCAGCTTGCCTGGGGGACCTTCCTCATTCCCAGCCATGGGGATGTGGTGGGGGGGGGGCGGGCGCGTCTTGTCCCATAGTCTGGGACCTGCGGTAACCATTCCAGAGAGTTGTGGGGGACTCAAGGTGTCTACTTTCTCAGATCTCTGTTCCCTGAGGCAAAGGACATTCCCTGCTCGTAGGAATCCCCCACCTTCACTGCCCCTAGCAGCGTAGTGTGGTGTAGAATCCTATCTGCTGTTAATCTTTGATAACTTGAAATTAGCCACTGGGGCAGTGGTGACACCATCAGAGTCAGAAGATGCTACAGGTCAGGACTGCTTTCTTTCCTTCTCTTCTTTCTTCCTTCTTTTCTTTTCTTTCTCTTTCTCTCTCTGTTTCTGCTTCTCACTGTCTCTTCCAAGAAGTGAAAACTGAAAGAGAAACCGTAAACTGTAAAGTTCCTCGTTTTCTGGGTGTGGGGTTTTTAGAAGTTGCGGGCATCTGCATACCCACAAGATCCCCTGTTTACTTGGGGGACTTCCTGTCTCTGTTGGGTGACTGCCCTTTGGCTTTCACGTCATGCAGATCCTATCTCAGTGAGGAAATCAGCACACAAAGCTGAAGGATTGACTAACGCCCCCCCATCAGTGACAATAACAACTCTCATGCTGGTCCACACCCACTTGTAGATTCTCCAGCCCCGTGCTGTCCAACACGGTGGCCCCTCGCCGCGTGCGGCTATTTAAATTTAATCAAAATTAAACCAAAGTTATAATTCAGCTCCTCAATTGCACAACCACATTTCAAGAGCTCGGTAGGCATGGGTGGTGAGGGGCTGCCGTATTGGACAGTGAGGATTATGGTGCATTTCCATGATGGCCCTGCCTCCTCGCCCCCCTTCTCCCTCACTCTCACCTCCCCGGTTTCCCCGGGACAACAATGTTATCGGCATTGATCTCCAGGAGTCTATCCAGGTATGGATACAATCATAGACTGGTATGTCAGGAATTTTAGTCATTTTTCTTTGTTTAAAAAAAAAAGTCATTCTACCCCTGTTTGAGGAAAGCATCCTAGGAACTCGTTTGGAAAACTGGGGATTTTCGAAGGATGCACTAACCATTCCATCTCTAGATGGCTACTCTAACCTACAGAGCCTGGACTTGAGCTGTAACGTCTGGATTTCCAGCCTCCCAGCCAGCCCTGCTCACTTCAGACTGGCCCCCACACTCCTAACTGGCAAGAGTCAATTCCTTAATTCCTGCTGCTACCGCATGTCCTGAACTCAGTGGTTTTTGTATACTGGTGGATTCTATGGTTTGTTTCAAGTCTGAAGTCACGAGGAGCTTCTGTTAGCAACCGAGGATGCCTCAAGTTCACTCCTGAATGGGCTTTCCCTACAATTGCATGGCTTGCCCGTGCACTTGTGCTAATAAATGTATAAAAGCGTGTAGAAATGTGTAAAAGTTGGGCTGCTCTCTGGCTAGGCTGGTTGCTTGACTGCCTGATCCCCAGTTCTCTCGCCTGTGACTGCAACTGAGATTCTGTGGCTTGGAAATTATATGACATAGAGTCCAGGGGTAAACCTGCCAATCATGAGGGCCAATTGCCAGTATCCAAGATTCCAAGCCTCCTCTCTACGCAGTTCCCTTGCCCTGGGAACAAGAAGACCAGCTCAGGGTGAGGATGGTGACGTGAAGCTTAATAAATAATCCAGGAGTCTGGCCATGGCAGGTGTTTGGCAGCCTGAGATGGCCGGGACAGGGGCTGGCTGACGAATGTGGCTCTGGGAAGGGACAGAGTCAATGACCTGGCCCTCGCTCCAGCCTTTCCTACTCTCTAATGCAGTCACTCTGGCTTCCCCACCCCATCCTCCTCCAAGCCAGGAGCTCTGGAGCCAGCCCCTCTGGGTCCAAGCCCCTGACTCTGCCACTGCTGTGTGACCTTAGGAAAGTGACCTGGCCTCTCTGAACCAAGTCTGATTTTACAATGTTGATTTCATTACCCCCAAATTGTTGGAAGCATTCTGTGACAGTATGAAATCGTGTACCCAAACTTTGGGCATTCATGTTGCCTTTGCAATTTTGTCCACATTGTTGAATCACACTTTTTTGTAATTTTAGTTGTAAAAGCAAAACCTGCAACAGCAGCAAACACAGAGGACTTCCTCTATTTTACATCCGCTAACTCTTTTGACCTCACGTCAACTCCATTAGAAAAGCAGTATTTTATCCCCATCTTAGAGCTGAGGAAAAAAGGCACAGAGAGGTTAAAGTAACTTACCCAAGTTCCCATAGCCAGTAAGTGGCAGAGTTGGTATTGGAGCCTGGCTTCAGGGTCTGTGTTCTAATTGTCATGGAGAAGCATACTGCCTCTCCATGCCAGAAACTTACTGCTACTATTTAATTATTTTTAAACAGACTCCATTTTTAAACTTTAATACCTGCCTTGGCTTCCATGAAATCATGGGATTTTATATATATATATATATATCTCCTAATACACACAGGAATAAATACCCAACTATTAAAAAACTTTTGGGAATCACTGGTCAACAAAATTGCTGAAAATGACCAGGGCTGGCATACAGTAGGTATGCAACAAATGCAGCTGTCATGCTTCTTTTCCAAGCTTGAGATGTGTGCTAAGGCCCTGCTCCTCCAGGAAGCCCTCCCTGATCACACTCCACCCCCAGCTGCCCTAGGGTGACCTTCTGCTCTCTGTCCTCCCGGAGGGGTTAAGGTTGTCACTGAATTGGTGTCTTCCTGTCCCCTCCAGGTTGGGGGCCCCCTCAGGGCATGAACTGGATTTTATCACTTCTGTGTCCCTAGGGCCCAGTCCAGGCCAGGACACCTGACAAGGATGGTGTATGTTTAATGTGAGGATGCGGATGAAGATGCTGAAGTCCTTATCAGGGATCATGACCAAGCAGTTCCACTTGTCCCCACGTGGCCAGGAGTTAAATCAAACCTGGGGAGATCACACACAGGCCAAGAAGGGCACAGACCATCTGGGCTGCCAGCTGCTTCCTGGACCTTACCTCCCATTTTACTTATAAGGAAACTGAGGCCCCCAGATGGATGTGACCAGTTCAGATTTACCCAGTGAGATGGTGGTAGAGACAAGGTGTGAATCTGATTGTGTCACTCCCCTGCCTAAAGCCTTCCATGGCTCCCTGGAGCCCCTGGGTGAGGTCCAGACTCTGGACTGGCACAGGCATCCTGTGTGCTCTGATCCTTGCCCACTTCTCTAGCCCTAAGCCCACCTGATGCCCCATCCTTGCCTTCTCTGTTCCAATTCTACTGGACATCTTTCCGTTCCTGCAACACACCATGCATTTCAGTTTCAGACCTTTGCTTTCCATGTTCCTAATTCCTGGCTCTGCTCAGTCTCCTCTTCCAGGAAGCCTTCCCGGCCCCAGGGGCCAGGTAAACTACTTACTCTGGGCACCCACAGCCCTGCCCTACCTCTGCCTGCCAACATCTGATGGCACTGATCATAATTGCTCTCCAGTGGTCCTCTCGGGCTTCTTGAGGGCAGGGGACATGCTGCCTTGTTTGAGGCTAAAGTTCCCAGGGCTCGACACATAGTAAGTGTTCAATAAATATTCATTGAATGAATAAATCAATTGTTAGAGTCATTTATTTGAACAATAAATAATTGTTTGGGTTCCAATGTTGGGTGTAAAATATCAGAGATGAGAAGCTTCGGAAAAAACCATGTCTTTCTCACGTGACAGATAACAATTGTTTCTTTGTCCTCATTTTTTCTCGTCTCAGAGCTAAGCTGATCCTGACCGTGGTCCAGGGGAAGTGGCTTGGCGTTTGGGACAAGCACTGGGCTTGGCAGTGAAGTCTGATCTTGTCCCTTTTCTCCTCCAGCGAGAGTTGTCCCTTTAACACGGGAGGAGGGGCCAAGGCTGCAGGAGGCTGCAGGGAGCTGGCAGAGCTGGTGCCAGGCAGGCTGAGGCCCAGCTGGCCTGGGGACCTTTCAGAAGGAAGGTAAGGGGGGCCTGGGGCCCAAATAGGGCCCTGGGGCTCTGTGTGCATCTGTGAATGTGAGCAGAGGCTAGTCTGGAAGGTTCTGGGGCTGAGTGACAGCTGAGTGGATGGGAAGTGGGAGGGTGAGAGTGACTTAAGTGTTCCTAGGAACATGAGTTCAGCTCAGGGGCCCTGTTATGATGTGGAGAAGAAGGCAGCTCCCCAGAACTTGAGGGTAGGGGAGCAACTTTCTGCCTCCAGAGGGGCAGGGCGGGACATTCTACCAGCCAAGGGCTGGCCGGGGTCTTCCAGGCTTGGCACTAGGAACTTGGTTGTGGAGTGTCACCCTGATGGGCAAGAAGGGGGAAAATGTAGTTAGTTGGTGTTTACCCCAATTCACAGGAGCAGCAGGTGAGGTCCAGTAAGGAAAAGTGACTTGGCCAAGGGACTTGCTGGGACCAAATCCAAGCCCTGGGTTTCCCAGTGCACTGCTCCATGGCAAACAGGGCGCAGGGCCCCCACCTCATTGTCAGCAGCTGCCACATGCCGAGGGAGCTATGTGTCTCCAGGTCAAGGCCTCAGGTCTGGGAGGCCGGTGCCCTGGGGGTATCTGGGTTTGATAAGGCTTTTGGCCATTCGGGGTTTGTTCATTTGACTGACACCTGCCATCCTTTACTGGGCGGTTGGTACAACCAAGAGGCTGGAGGAGCCTGGGGATCAAGCCAGGAGCATTTAGCTCCTAAGGACAAGCAGTAGTTAAATACTTGATGTTCACACCTTTAATAATAATAATAATAATATAATAAAATATACATGATGGATAAGAGCACACATGTCAAATCACTCCTGCTTAAGTTTGAATCCAACAGCCATTTCTAGCTGTATGACCTTGGACAAGTTACTTAACCTCTCTGGGTCTCAGGCTTATTGTCTATAAAGTGGAATTAATAACTGAACCTATCTCAGGGTTATAATGATGTTATGAGAAAATATAAGGGGCCTGGCACAGTGCCTGGCTCACAGTAAGTCCTGCATAACTCTCAGCTATTATTATGTGTCAGGCAGAGTTGATGCCATTATTATATGGCCCCACTTAATCCTCCTGATGATCCTGTGGTACACAAGCTTTTCTCTCAGTTTGTTGTGTGGTTAGTTCCTTCTCATTATTCAGGTCTCAGTTTTAATGGTCATCTCCTCCAAGAGGCCTTTCCTGACCTCCCAGCCCAAAGTAGGTCCCCTTGTTCTTCTCTTTGAGACTCCCTATATGCATGTTTAGCTCTTAGCAGTTTTTACCATTTCTGATTATTTTGTTTATCTATACAGGGATTTGTCAAATGCTGATCCCCTTATCTGACTATAAGTCACTCCAAGAGTAGATGTCTGTCTTGTTCACCATGGTATCCCCAGTTCCTAGGTCAGGGCCTGCACCTTGTAGGTGCCCTGTACACATGCTAGAGCAAGGATGAGCGTCCTAGCATTGTTAGAAGGCCCAAAAGAGAGAACACCTCCAAAGGACTCAGCCAATTTCTGGCAGATAATAGAGATTCAACAAAGGATAGCCATTATTATTATTCATCTTCACCATAACTTGTGAGTTGGGATTGTTATTCCCATTCTACAGAAGGGGAAACAGGCACAGAGAGATCGAGACACTTGTCTGGGTCACACAGCCAGGAAGTCATACCTAGTTTCTAACTTTGGTCTCTGATTGACCCCAAAGCCAACATTCTTAGGCCCTGGGGCTGAGGTGAGGCCCAGGCCAGGGTATGCTGGGTTTGGGTGACCCATGGGCTGCTCTCCACCAAAGATATACCCTGCTCAAGAATTGCCCTGGATAGAACTGGGTGGAGGGGGTTCAGCCTTTGCCCTGCCTGGGAAATCCCAGGGACACCCCCAAAAGGGCCCGGGGTCAAATCCAGGGATGAGAGACCTGGAACCCTCTGATGGGGTGACCCCAGCCCTGAACTAAGTAAGCGTGGACAAGAAGTTTGAGCTTGCGGTGGGTGGGAGAGGTTGCAGTGTGCTCCTCCTAGTGGCAAGTAGTGGAATGGCAGGGGTGGCCCAGCACTTTTCTTCTGAGGAAAAAAGGCATAGTGTTTGCTCCTTAAAAAAAAATATCCTTCTATTTCCCCTCCCTCCTGATTTCCCTCCCTCTCTGCTTCTCGCCCTTACATATTGGTTCATTCATGCACTCACTCACCTGCATTTTGGCTTAAAACCTTCCAGCGGCTTCCCGTAACAAGTGGGCTTAGAGTAACATCCCACCTCCCATCTGTGGGCTGCAACACCCTTCCCTGCCAGCATCCTTGCCCACTTCTCCTTGCTCACTTTCTACTCTCACTTCCTGCTCTCACCTCCCCCCATCCCTTCCCACCGCACCAACACCCCAAGTTCACAACTCTTTCAAGGTTTTGGTTCCCTCTGCTGTTCCCTCCGCAGGAATGCTTTTCCCTTCATAAAAGTTCCCCCTTTGAGAACTTGCAGATCAAAAGAGAGTGGAATTACCTCTCAACCAACCAAAATGCCCAGCTCCCATCTGCATCCCAGTTCAAACTGTTAAAAACCTTCAACCGTCACCAACTGCAAAATGGACTGTTTACCACATTTAATGAGACGCTTAGAAATGTGAACAATTAGCAGATATTTGATGCTATTACGAAATTGTCATTAATATTTTTAGATGTGATAATGGTATTGTAATTACATTTAAAAAAATTAGCATCGCTGTGGTATAATTTCCGTTAACATAAAATTAGCTTGCTTGAGGTTAGAATTTCAAGAGTTTGAACAGATAAATGTATATTGTTTTGAAACTGTGTATCTACAGTGTTTAAAAAGAGTTCTTTACTTGTAGAGAGACATGCGGAAATTTTTACAAATGAAATAATAGGGGAGGAAAATATATTAATAATAAAGGAGGAAAAAATAATTCAGGAAGAGAGATTGGGTACAGGTATGAAGGAAACAAGGCAGCTGATGATGGTTGAAGCTGAGCGATGGTTACACCGGAGCTTCGTTAGACAGTTCTTGACACTTTAGCTGTGTTTAAATTTTTCATCGTATAAGTTTAAAGAATGTATCTCTCCTGGGAGAAGTCTTTCCTGACTACCCTCGCCAAGATGGCACTCCGTCCCCGCCCCAGCTAGGTCCCTCCTGTTTGAAATTCTGTGATCCTATCTCTCCAACTAGAATGTGCACCCTGGCCAAGCAAGGGCTGCCTCTGACTTGGCTAACCCTGGGTCCCCGAACCTGGAACTGCCTAGCACATAATAGGCCCTCAGCAATTTTTTAAAAAATTGAAGTATAGTCAGTTTACAGTATGTCAATTTCTGGTGTACAGCAAGTAATGTTTTTTTGAATGAATGAATGATGAATGAATGAATTCTCCTACTCTCATTCATTCATCACCATACATTGGCCACATTCTACAACCCCAGCACTGTGGGCGGCAATAGTTATGGAAATAAAAATCCCCTGGTCCAAACCTCCTTGTCCAGATGGGGAAACTGAGGCCCAGAGAGGCCCATATACCTGCCCAGAGCCTCACAGCTTGGCAGCGACATGAGACTAAGATAGCCAAGCGCAGGGGCTTCTCCCCCTCCCCTGGTTAAAGGGACCCTTGCCTGGAGCTGCCTGGGCTGTGACATTCGTGTCTTCCCGCCAGCCCTCCAGGTGGTTGCGGGAATGGAGGACTGCCTGGCTGAGTGTGCTAAGGGGCGACACTTCCACGTAATCACGCCCCTGCTGGAGAGCTGGGCGCTGTCCCAGGTGGCGGGCATGACTGTCTTCCTCAAGTATGAGAATGTGCAGCCGACTGGCTCCTTCAAGATCCGTGGCATCGGGCACTTCTGCCAGCAGGTGAGGGTGTAGAGGCAGGAGGGGAGAGGTGAGGTTGTAGAGATGGGAGGGGAGAGCTGTGGGCAGGATGAGGGGCAAGGAGGACCGGTGTGGGGTGGGGAGGGTCTAACTCCATCCCACACAGGCCTCCATGACACCAGCTTGGGTCAACCCCCACTCCCATTCCCTCTCTTCCCAGGTGGCCAGGAAAGGATGCAGACACCTGGTGTGCTCCTCAGGTGAGCCCACCCCTTTCCACTTCATGAGGATCCTCAGGGCTGGGGGTAGGGGTGGAGAGGCTGGCTGGAGCCGCAGCAGGTGTCCAGAGCTCCACCTCTTAAAGGACCAGCCTCATCAAGATCATGGTCAGATGGCGTTTTGGCAGGTCCTTTCCCAGCCCTCTTCCCATCATTCAGACCTCCTGGTGGTAAGTGATAGAAACTCAATTCATACAGGTTCAAGTTACAGGCTCCAAGAACTCAAAACTTCTTGGGATAGCTGGCTTTCAGGCACAGCTGGATCCAGGAGCTCTCCTCTGTATCTCTCCTTTTCTTGGCCTGTCTTGCCTCTAAACTAACTTTACTCTTGTATAGACCTCATGGTAGCAAGATGGCCATCAGGAGTTTTAGACTTGCCTCCTACCATCCTACCAACCCTACTGAAAAGGGAGCATCGCTTCCCAGCGGTCTCCTCAATCCATGAATTGTTCTTTTTGGCCCAGCTTGTATCATGTACTCATCCCTGAACCAGTCATGGGCCAGGTGATTGAGTTCTCTGAGTGACTCCACCTCGATCGCGTGTCCATCTCTGGGGCCGATGGTGGGGCATATTAATGTAGGGAAGGACTGACTCTCAAGGGGAAATGGAGGGGGTGGGGGAGCAGTGTGTCAAGAGGCTAAAGCCACTGCCCATGCATGCCCTTCTACTGCCTCCTCAGGTGGAAACGCAGGCATCGCTGCTGCTTACGCTGCTCGGAAGCTGGGCATCCCGGCCACCGTTGTGCTCCCCGAAGGCACCCCTCTGCACGTGGTGAGGAGGCTGCAGGGGGAGGGGGCCGAGGTTCAGTTGACCGGAAAGGTAAGGACCCCAAGAAGGGGAAACCAGCGGGAGAGGGCTGTTTCCCTTTCACCCCTGCCTCGCCCCTAAGACAGTCTGCCTCCTTTTCCTTTGGATGAACTCTGCCTCCGACCCAGCCTTCTCTTACGATGGCTGAGCTGGGGGATGAGGATGTGATGTGTATGAATGACTAGGACCTCTCAGCTTGCCTCTTCCCACCTTGAGAAGACTTTTCCTGCACAAACCCAGGAGGGACGGGAAGCTGGAGATTACCAGGAGCGTATCTGTCTCCCTGCATCCTCCCTAACACTTCGCATTATCCACCGATACATTTTTTACTATTCAGTAAGACAGCACCACAGGCTGGTGGGCTGCGTTCTGCAGCGTGGCAGCAAATGGCTCCCGCCTGGATTCTGGAAAGCACGTGGCCTCCGTTTGTTCACTCGGAAGCCTCTGCCTTTGTCCCAGGAGTTGGCTGGGCCCACGCCAGCTCTGGTCCCATCTGCGGGGGTCTCTCTAGCCCCTTGGATCCTGGAGCCATCCAGGAGGCCGCAGGCTCTGCTCCAACCTCTGTGGCCATCTGATTCCCAAGTCTTCTGAAGGCCTCGGTTTCTCTTTAGGTCTGGGATGAGGCCAATCTGAGGGCGCAAGAGTTGGCCAAGAAGGATGGCTGGGTGAACGTCCCCCCGTTTGACCACCCCCTGATATGGTAAGGCTGGTCCCCGTCCCCCCATCCCTAACGGAGCTCAGAGCTGAGAGAACCTTGAATCAGGTCCTCCCATTGGACAGAAGGGGAGACTGAGGCCCAGAGAGGAGAAGAGGCTTGGAAGCCAGGCACACTGGGGTCCAGCCCCTGCCTCTGCCACTTGTGAGCTGTGTGACTGTGTGTGAAGCGTCTCACCACGCCACACCTCAGTTTCCATGTGTGTAAAGTGGAAATGCTGATAAGAAATCCCCTTAATGGATTGTGTACTTTGGGGCACACTTAATCCACTTTTTCTTCCCTCAAACCCTAGAGATGGGTTTTTATACCCATTTTTCCAGGTGAGGAGATGGAGGCACAGAGGGGTCGAGCCACTTTCCAAAGATCACACAGGTAGTAAATGGCAGAGACCTTGGGTCCCAGGCCCTGGACTTAAGTCGGGCTGGTTCCAAGTGACACGCTGGCCTCCTCTTAAGCAGACACATGAACGTTGCCTCTTTCCCACGTTGTGGAATGGAGTCAATGGGCAGACTGAGGAAGGGCCTGGGAGGCTGAGGAAGCGGAGAAGAATGAGTGAATGAGAAAACTGAGTGGATGAGCGCTGAGCGAGCTAAGGCTGGCAAGGTCTCCCCCACCAGCTTTGGGTGGGGAGGGGATGGCGATGTCGGGAGTCTGTGTGGTCGTGAGCCTTTGGGACCAGGGCCTCCCCCAACCCTGCCCGCCTCTTCCCCCCGCTCTTCCTGCAGGGAGGGCCATAGTAGCCTGGTGCGGGAGCTGAAGGCAGTGCTGGGGACCCCACCAGGCGCCCTGGTGCTGGCAGTGGGGGGCGGAGGTCTCCTGGCCGGGGTGTCGGCCGGTCTGGCAGAGGTGGGCTGGCAACACGTGCCCATAATCGCCATGGAGACGCAAGGGGCACACTGTTTCAACGCGGCCATCAAGGCAGGCAGGCTGGTTACGCTGCCGGACATCACAAGGTAGGCGTGGGCTGGAGCATTTGTGGGACGCTGGGGCTTCTCAGTCCCAGTTAGTGGGGGTGGGGACACTCAAGAGGGTCTCCTTAATCCTGCAAACATAGCTGATCTACGGGACTTTTCATTCTCCACTTAAACCCATCAACGCATTCCCCCAAATCTGGACCCTGCACTCCAGCCGCTGGTCTGTCCTCCTGTCCTTTGAATGGGTCACGCTGTTCCCCACCTCCACACGTTTGCACAGTCCATGTCCTCTGCCCAGAAGCCCCAGAGTTCCCCGTTCTCCTTTTAGCTGGGCTCTCACCACTCTGGGAGATTTTCCCATAACCCTGGCTTAGGAGGTTCCCCTTCCAAATTCTTTCTCACAGCATCCTCCTCCCGTGGGCATTTATTTACTTCTCCTTGGTTACTGCTGACTGGCCTTCCCACCCTTGGTTCATGACCACAGCAATAACAAAAACTGCAACTAACACCTCTGTGGAACTTACTATCTATCAGGCTCTATTCTGAGCCCTTGAAATGTTTGTACTCAGTCCCCACGACCACTTTGTGAGCCAGCTATCGATATTATCCCCATTTTTCAGGTTAGGAAATTGAGACTCAGAGAGGTGAAGTGACTTTCCCAAGCTCACACAGCTCGGGTGGAGACAAGGTTTGAAACCAGGCAGCAGAGGCTGTGCTCCGGGCCCCTGAGGGCTCAGAGTCACTTCTCATGGGCTCAGCAAAGGCTCTCCCAGGCCTGAGACACTGCCCAGCTCTGGAAAATTACGAGCAGAGAGGTGATCCTAGGCATGGAGATCAAGTGCATGGACTCTGGGGCCAGCCCACCTGCATTTGAACCCATGTTCTGCTCCTGATCAGCTGTGTGTCCTTGAGCCAGTTACTCAACATCTCTGAACTTCAGTTTCCTGACCTCTAAAGTGGAACTTATAATTTCTAGCTCCACGGGTGACTGTGAGGATTAAAATGGAAAATCCATGCATCCAGAACCTTGTAGACATTCAATAAATATTAGCTATCGTCTAGATATGATAAACGGTTATTAATGAATAAAATTTTGGAAGTCCTTTCCTACGCTTGGCCTTCTGGGGTCTGCGAGGAACCGCACAGTCACGGTTGTAGAGTCAGAGGGAGTGTTTCTGGGACACGCTATTGTTGAGCGCTTCCTCTCATCCAAGTGCTGCTCGAGACTCTTGAAATGCCGAGCCGGGGCCCGTTGCAGGATGGGAGGGGGCCTGTGGCTGGGGAGGGCCGGGGCTTTGCAGGGAGGAGACCTGATTTGCCAGTTTTCCTCCACATCCCTGCACTCCCTGCCCCTCCTCGCCTGCTCCTCAGTGTGGCCAAGTCCCTGGGTGCCAAGACGGTGGCTGAGCGGGCCCTAGTGTGTGCGAAGGAGTTTAAGATCTTCTCTGAAGTCGTGGAGGATGCTGAGGCCGTGAATGCCGTGCAGCAGTTCCTGGGTGAGTGAGCACTGCCCACCCATGTCACCACCCGGCTCGGTACCTTAAGAAGTCCCTGGATCCCCTAGAGAGAGCTTATACTCCCTTGTCTGTCTCCTCAGCGCCTATGGCAGGGCTGAGTATACACTAATCTGCAATAAATGCTCGATGAATAGATGGAAGGGGTGGGGGTGGAGAAGGAGTGTGCTGTGCTGTCTGTAGCCTCCAGGCTTCTGTACACCCTCTTTTCCCCTCTAGTTGCCCATCCTGGGCCCTGCTCCCTATTGGTTTCACATAACTAAATGCTACTCAGCCATCACGGCACCTCCTCCAGGAAGCCTCCTCTGATCTCCCACCCCCACCCAACCTGGCGTGAAGACTTCCTGTGCGCCAGTCCCACCAATCTCATAACTGCTGGGTTCTTATCCATTTACATCACTAGACTGTGAACTCTATGAGGGCGGGGGCTGGTGTGTCGCGTTCACTGTTGTGTCCTTCTTAGCACGAGGCCTGGCGGGGAGTGGGCACTGGGAAAATATTTGTTGAATGAATGGATGAATGTATGAGTGAGTAGGAAGGTGGATAATGGATAGATGGATGGATGGGTGGATGGACGGACAGATTGATGGACAGTCAATTGACAAATGACATAGAAATGGATGGATGGATGGGTGGACACATTGATTAATGGACACATTGATGGATGGACAGCTAGGCAGTCAAATGATGGATAGGGGATAGATGGATGAATGGATGAATGGATGATTACATTGATTGATGGATACATTGATAGATGGACAGACAGAGTCTAATGATGGATAGAGGAATGGATGGATGGATGGAAAGATAGGTGAAGGGCGGATGGATGGAGGGATAGACGGTCAGATTGATGGATGGAGAGAGAGTCAGACAAATGCTGGCTTGTGAGGTGGATGGCTGGATGGCCGGCTGGACGGATGTGCAGTGCCCAGAGCCTGCTGAGCCCTAACTGACTTAACTCCCTTTCTCTCCTCTCCTCCACCCCCGTCCCCCTATTCTGGGCAGATGACGAACGGATGTTGGTGGAGCCTGCCTGCGGGGCAGCCTTAGCTGCCATCTACTCAGGCACCTTGGGGAGGCTCCAGGCTGAGGGCTGCCTACTCCCTTCTCTGGCCTCAGTTGTGGTCATCGTGTGCGGAGGCAATAATATTAACAGTGGAGAGCTGCAGACTCTGAAAACCCAGCTGGGCCAGGACTGATGGCTTCTGGTTTGAGAGGACTGGCTGGGCCCCAGGGATCCCCAAGAGGCTCCTGGACACTCTGATAGCTAGCTGAGGAGCCTCTGTGCTCATAGATGGCAGTGGAAACTACCCTGTGCTGTTGTGCCGGACGCCTCCTGCAGGAAGCCCTCCTGAACTGCTCCCTTTGGCTCCCCTGCCCCTCTGGCCAATAACCCCTTTCTGAGATGAATTTGTAACTCCAGCAGGTCCACTTTCCCCACCTCCACGAACCCAGAGAAGGCACACAGCAACTGTGATGAGGCAATTCTTTTTACGTCTCTCAACTTGGGTGACAAAGCCGAGGATTTCAAACTCGGGTTTCTATTCTTTAAAAAAAATTTTTTTATATTAACTTTTTAAATCTTTAATTTAAAAAAATTTAATAAAATTTAATAAATTTTTAATAATTTAAAAAACTTTTAAATTTTATTATTTTATTTTATTTTTTTAGGTGGGAGGTAATTAGGTTTATTTATTTAATAATCCCTGGAGGTATCAGGGATTGAAACTAGGACCTCGTGCATGCTAAGCAAGCATTCTAGTATTGAACTATACCCTCCCCCATTTAAAAATTTCTTTAAAATATTTTAAACTTTTTTTTTTCAAATTCGAGTTTCTAAGGGAATCCAGCCAGGCTGAGCTCCTAACCGGCTTGCCTTACTCAGGAGACTTGCTCAGGTAGGGAAGGGGATGCTCTGTCACTTCAGGTCTGGGCAGGTGAGGACAATATCACTTGTCTTTATCAGGTGCTTGTCATTTGCCAGAAAAGAAGAACTCTATTCATTGTCCTCTTTAACGTTCTCAAAGGCACTAGGAAGTGGAAACCATTACTGTCATCCCTGTCCTACAGATGGGGAAACTGAAGCACGGGACAGTGACATAACTCCTTCAAGGTCACACAGGCTGGAATGTGGCCCAGCCAGCTTCAAACGCTGTGATTTTCAATATGCCCCTATTTCTTGGACCTCCGCCTTCTTTGTATGGGAGTCGGTGGTGGTGGGACATTGGAGAAAGAGGTAGGACCTGCAGGTCGGTCTGGACACATCTGGGAGTCACAAAGAGGTGGGTACCGGTCCTGGTGGTGGGGTACCTGCCACCCGTGGGAAGGATCTCTTTGGAAACTGGAAAGAAAAATGAGAATTTTTTTGAGCCACCAGGGGGCAGCAAAGTGTCTCCAATGGGGAAGCGGGGTCTCAAGTCAGGTGAGATCTGCCCCTGGGTCTTCCTTGACTCTACCCCCAGCTGGAGGTGCTGAGGTCCTAGAGGTGGATGGGCTTACAGTGTCCTGGCATGGGGGAGCCCTCTCCAACCCCTCACAGCGCTGCAGGAAAAAAAGGCTCAGGGAGAGCGGGGCCCACCCTGTGAACCCACGGCAGATCTCGCTCCTGGGTCCCACTGAGGAGCTGCCTTATGAGGGCTGTGTGAACTTGGGCAAGTGCCCTCCCCTCTCTGGGCCTCGGGCTGCCCCTCTGTGCTGGAGGAGGCCCACTTGCTGCTCCCCATCTCCTTTCCTTTGCTCAAGCGGTTCCTTCCACCAAGTGCCTCCTCTTTTTCTCAAGAGGAGGGTTTGAGAGTGGCTGTGGCCTCCCTCTGCTTCTCTGCTGTCTTGGTCTCATCTGCCCTTTGACCCCAGACATTGCCCTGGACTGCCAGGTCTGCCCCTCCAGAAGCTTCCAGGACCCAGACCTGTTTCCTTGGAGTCATACTGTGTGAGTTCCCAGAAGAGAGGAGACACTGAGAGCCCCAGAGCTGGACCCAGCCAGATTTGAGCCTGGACTCTGTTCCGACGTACTAGCCTGGTGACTTTGAGTGAGTGATGCTCCCGTTCAGTGCCTCAGCGTTCTGATCGGTAAAGCAGGTTGTTTGCAGATTCTTACTATGGACCCTGCATGGGTAGACTTTCAATAATTGCTAGTTCTTACCGTCTCCGGAACTCTCCTCCCTCGACAATGAGAGATGTGGCGAAAGTAGTGTTTACTCTTGCACAGAGCACCTGCTGTTTGCTGTGGGCCTTAGCAGTCATTTCATTTAATCCCGCAATAACCCACATGGTAGATACTATCATTACCTTTGTTTTTGCAAATGAGGAAACCGAGGCACAGAGCAGTTGAACACTTCCTCCAGGTCCCACAGCTGAGCTGGAACCCTGCTCTGTAAACCTCTGGGCTTGTGCATCTCAGCGCGACCACTCTCCTACCTCCTTCCCTTTGCTCGCGCCACGTCCCCTGCCTGCCGTGCCCTCTACGCTTTTAAATCCTACACATTCTGCCAAGCCCAGCGTGAGGGCAGCCTCCTCCTGGAACCCCCCCGGGATTGCTTCAGCCAGAGCCAAGCTCCCCAACCCCACGCTTCTCCAGGTGGGCGGCTGAGCCCATCTCCGTCCCAGGTGCTCTGTCTCCCACTCACGATGCCGCCCTTGGCTGCTCTCTTGGGAGATTTGTCAGCTGCTGTTTGCTCCTCTCCTGGTCTCGGTAAGCTGGAGATAAGAAGCCGAGGGGCCTGTTTATCTTGTCCAGGTAACACACGTCAACTACATTAGCGTAGCCCTTCCTGGTTGACACCCAAGGAACGCCAAGGGCAGGGCGGGGCACAGGGAGAGAGCAGGACATGGCAGGTCAAAGCTGAGGCCGTGCTTGTGATCTGATGTAGCAGAGTGGGCACCGGGGCAGAGATTGCCAGCATCTGTCCCTGCCCACTTGGACCACTCAGTGGGGGAGATGGGGAGGCTGCGAGGAGGGTCCTGGGAGCAGAACCTTCTCTGTCTTGGTACAGGGCTGCATAGAGAGCACTGGCCACTGGGCCACCAGGTGTATGTACCTGCCTTCATCCCAGCGGGATCCCTTCTCCTGGGAGGGGGGCCCCTTTGGTTCCCTGTGGGGTCTGTTGGCTGAGGATCCCTCTGTCCCTCATCAGGCAAACTCTAACACCCCTGCCTCCAGAGCGCTCACCCCCACCAATCCTTCACTCCACTTAAGCCAAGGTGACACGGAGGCCTGACATCCAGCCTTTGACTGGCAAAGGTGTTCTGACCCGAGAGCTGGCTTCAGGGATGGCAGGGACCTGGGGAGGAGGACCAGGTTCATGCTGCCGCCCCACACCCCCGGCCTGGGCAAGAGCCCAGTTCAGGGTGGGTGCACATTCCAGGACCTGCAGGGGAGGGTCTGACCCTCATGTTGGGGATATGATGGCTTAGGCTGGCTTTGCATCTCAAGTCACCTGTGTGTGGCCATGTGTGCACCTGTGTACTTGTGTACTCGCAGGCATGCATGCATGTTTGTGTCCACGTGTGAGAGAGTGCTTGCTCTCGTATTTACGAGGAAATACTTCCAGTTCATTGAAGCCTAGTTTATTTCCCTCGGAGAGTATGGTGCTTCACATTTTTGCACTCGGGGCTTACAATACAAGCACTGCCCAGGCATTAAACTTAGCTGTATACAAGGATTCAGGTTGGAGGCTAGACATTAGGGGGTGGTGGGGATTGGAGCCAACTGGAAAGCTCATATTCTGTCTGAAGGAAGTGGCTACTGCTCAAGTCCATCTACCTGCTGGCCCAGCATAACAGATTTCCCAATTTCTTAGTGTTAGCTCAAATTCAAAGCAATTTAAGAAACACCATGTGCTCTATTTGCCCACATAGTCATATAAAGGCTCTGACAGGTCCTGCAGGAAAGGAGGAGCCCCGTGACTCCAACCTGAATCTAGAGGAGGAGCGTGTGACCCCAGCCTGAGCCAGTCCAAGCACTGCATTTCACCTGGCCGTGGTGATTGGTTCAAGGGCAGGCCCAGGAGCCAAACTGTCCAATCAGAGCAGCAGATGACTTGGGCTGGGAACGCGGAGGCACCCGTGGACCGTTCATTTATATAAGCCAATACATTTCCCAGTCCCCTTTGTGCTGAAGCCTAGATTTCTGTCATTTGAGCCTGGAAGGATCCTGACTGCCGGTGTATGCATTTGATGCGTGTCTCTTGAACTGAATTGCCTTGCGCTGCCTAGGTGTGAGCCCTCTCTGAGGTTGGCCCTCAGCAAAATTGAGGACCACCTGAGCAGTTTTCTTTTATTCCCTCGGCCTCTCTTTGGACCCACTTTTTGTTCTGGCTCCCAGGCGTGGGAGTTCATGCTGCCTGCATTTATAAGCAGAGCAAACCATCACCCGATGCGATTTTGCTGACAGGGTGTGTGTGTGTCGGGGGGGTGCACAGTATTTTATGAAGTTGGGAGGTTGTCTTAAATCACATCGGCTAGGAGCCTCTTTAGGAAGTGGCTGCTGTGGTGGTAGTCAGGGCTGGTGGACCCTAGAGACACTACCATCACTTAAACTCAAGCCCTTTAGAAAGACAGTTCCCTAATTTTCCATCCACCCTTAGGGTCTTGGAGTCAGTTATCACCCTGACTTAAAGCCCCATGCCCGCCCTTCCTGGGGAGGGGGCCTGGCAGGGCTGTTAGCTGATGGTGATGCGGTTGCTAAGGCCCAGAAAGTGGGACACCTGGCCCGAGGGCCCAAGGACCTTTGTGCCGCCCTGGTAGGGTGCTTTGTTCTCATGAAGATGCTCTCATGTTTTGGGGACCCCAATGTCCAGCTCCTCCAGGGCCTTCTGGGGCAGACCGGGCACTCGGTGCCCCGTGCAGAGAGGCACGGGGGATCCCCTCCAGATCTGCTCGCTTGGCTCCGTTACTTTGTGTTCCTGGTTTGTTTCAGAATGAATGAATGAATGAATGAATAAATAAATGAGTGTATCAGTAAGATTAGGTTCAGCTTTGTGATTCAGGAAACACAAGTGGCTTAAACAAAATAGAAATTTATTTCTCTTTCACTTAACAGTCTGGAGCTAGGTGATGGGGGGCTGGTAGAGAGTGGAGCGTGAGACCACAGCCCCGCCTCTTGCCTCCCTTAGCTCTGTCCCCAGCCTTGATTTTCATCTCCTGTCCCGAGAAGCCTTTGCCTCTGCAGTGGGCACAGTTGGTGCCCACCTGGCCCCCAGCTCTAATCTCCTGGATCAGGTTCGTGCAGCCATCCTCCAGTGTTGGCTCCTGATGGTCCACAGCTGCCCGCTTCTCCAGAGAATAACCAACCGGAGCCACTGTGTTCAGAGATGCCTGGGAGGTTACCCCTTCCCCGGGTGGCACAGAGTCAATGATTGACTGATGGAGGGATAGAAAAGGCAGCTTCTCTTGCAACCTAAAGGCAGGGCAGCCCTGTGGTACCAACCACAGAGCAGAGGTCCCCATGGAATGAGACTGGGATCTGACTCCATCTGTGTCCCCTCCTTCTGTTCACCCTCCTCGTACTCCGAGCCCTCCCTGAATAAATCACATGCCGAGAACCCCCATCCCAGGCTCTGCTGTGGAAAACCCGACCTAAATGGGCCCTTTCCACCCTTCCCCAGTGTTTGTGCTTTTTAAACTCCACCAAAAATGTCACGGGGAAGGTTTCTTGCCTGGCTTCCAAACTCCCTGATAAATTCCACTGGCTGGGCAACCCCAGGAGAGGTTTTCTGGAGCAAGGAGCGCCATAAATCACCCCACTGCCACTCCGGCTTGGGCAATATCTTATGTAAAAAGGTGTTTCCTGGGAGCGCCACGGGCAGGAGAATCCTATTACAAGCCGCCCCATTAATTATAAAGAGTCAAGTCGACCCTTCGCTGCGATTTTTTATCTTAAGTCCGAAAACTGATTACCTTCACCAATCCTTCCGCCTTCCAAAAAAAAAAAAAAAAAACAAACCCTAAAGAATAAAATAAATGTTTGAAGAACAAATACCAAAGTTTCTCCTTTTAGGGGAGAACCAGCAGAGAGAAAGTCGTGGGAAAGTGGGAAAGTGCCTTTTTTCTTCCTATTATGGTAAAAGGTATTGGCCACTCAGCGTGTGTGGGACGTATTCAATTTCCTCAACTCTTTCGCCTTAGGAAGTGGGTGTTATAATTCATCCCATGATGCAGATGAGAGAAACTGAGGCTTGCATGATCCAGCCCTTTCTTCTGAGGTGGGAAGGTGGGCAGAGACCCGATGAGGCTGGGGACTTGAAAACCTGGGTTCAAAGCGCACCTGTGCTTCTTACTAGCCAGGACACCGAGCAGGTAAATTAACCTCTCTGAGCCTCAGTTTCTTCTCCTGCAAAATGAGGAATAAAAGCACCCCTCAAAGGCTTCTTCCAGGGAGAAGACACGCAACAGCAAACAACAGCACAAGCCTGGCATGTCCCCTGCCTGGGTGACTGGCAGCCTCCCCACTGGCCTCCCTGCCTCCCTGCCGCCAATCTTGAGCTCCCCCACCCTTACTCCCACCCACGCTCTATTTGGCACTCAGCAGCCAGGATAATCTTAAACAAGGCCAAGGCAGATCCTCGCCCCCTCTGCTTAAACCCTCCCATGCCCTTGGCTGCATTTAGGATAAAGGGCTAACCCCTCACCTAGGCCCACAGGGGCCCGTATCATCTGGCTTCTGAAGACCTTGTGGGCCTCAGCCCCTTCTTCTCTCCCCCCAGACTCCCTGAATTATAGCCACACTGGCCTTTATCTCTTCCTAGAACTCACCAAGCTTGATCCTGCCTCAGGGCCACTGTCTGTGCTGTTCCCTTTGCCTCCCACACTCTTCCAGATCTCAGCAAAGCTGGCAACTTCTCCTTCTGGCCTTGGTTGAAGTGTCGCTTCCTCCGAGGGGCCCTCCTGACCCACTGCCTGCCACTCAGGGCCGGGTCTAGGGTGAGATGAGCGAGCGCTCACCCTTGGGAACAAAGTGTTAGGGATGCCCCCAAAACTCAGAAATCAAGAAAAATGATATTGTTCTAAAACAATCTTTAAATTAAAATTAACGCAAAAGAAATTCATGATGAATACAATGGTGACATTTTAAATAAAAGACAGGATCTCACCTCGCACTTGGCTGTCCCACCTCACCCCAAGGGCAGACTGTCAGAACCTGTCTTTACTGAAAATGTGGCCGTTTTGTTCATTATGAATTATTTTGCATTAGTTTTGATTTTTCAAAATATTATATGAAAATACTGTTTATCTTGATTACTGAGTTTTTGGTATGTACCCCCCCCCCCAAATTTTGCATGCAAGGTGAGTACCCTGTTTGCCTCACCCTGGCCCTGCCTGGCTATTTGCCTATTTCAACACCCAGTGATTTTCAATCTCACCGCCTTCTCTTTTTAAAGAATTTTAAATTGAAGTATAGTTGGTTTACAATGTTGTGTTAGTTTCTGGTGTACAGCAGAGTGATTCAGTTATACATACGTATATGTATATATTCCTTTTCCTATTCTTTTTCATTATAGGCCACTGCAAGATGTTGAATGTACTTCCCTGTGCTCTACAGTAAGAACTTGTTTATCTGTTTTATGTATAGTAATTAGTATCTGCAGATCCTGAACTCCCAGCTTATCCCTCCACCCTCCTCTTTCCCCTCTGGTAACCATGTTTGTTTTCTATGTCTGTGAGTCTGTTTCTGTTTTGTAAATAGGTTCATTTGTGTCATTTTTTTTTTAGATTCCACACATAAGTGATATCCTATGATATTTGTCTTTCTCTGTCTGACTTATTTCACTTGGTATGATCATCTCTAGGTCCACCCATGTTGCTGCAAATGGCATTATTTCTTTTTTATGGCTGAGTAATATTCCATTGTATAACTATACCGCAACATCTTTATCCTTATCCATCAATGAACATTTTGGTTGCTTCCATGTCTTGGCTGTTGTAAATAGTGCTGCTATGAACATTGGGGTGTATGTATCTTTTTGAATTAGAGTTCCCTCTGGATATATGCCCAGGAGTGGGATTGCTGGATCAGACAATAAGTCTATTTTTAGTTTTTTAAAGGAATCTCCACCCACTACCTTCTTTTCCTACCACTATTTGAAATTATCAATTATTTCCTCCCTTGGTTACTGTCTGTCTCCTCCCAGTAAACTGTCTGCTCAGTGAGGGCTGGGATCATATCTATGCCAATCACATCTGTAACCCAGAGCCCAGAAGGGTACCCGGTGCATATTATTTCAACAAATATTTGATGAATGAATGAAGAGAAGATTTAGGAAGGCAACTTGATTGCAGGGCCTTTATTCCACCCCTCATTTGCATTTTTCAGTTGAGGAGACTGAGGTCCAGAGAGGGTGAGTAACCTAATCATAGTCACACAGCACAGCCACATCAAAGCTGGTCCAAAACTGAAACTCCCATGGGGCTTGTGAGTTCATCAAAGAAGAGAAGTCTCTGGTGACCTGGAGTGGACCGGAAGGGGCTCATTTTCTCTGAGTACCCACATTCCTGAAATATCATCTCCAAAGCCATATTGTCACCTAGTCTTAGGCCAGATCCACACATCAACTTCATTATTACCTAATTCACACGTTTCTTGAAACCCCTTAAATGCTATTTAGAAAGAAAACATTATCACCGCTCTAAATGGAGAAACAGTAGCACTTCCTGGAATTAGGTAATAAATGTAGCAATAAATAAAAGCGAAAACAAAACGATGCTGTTACATTGCAGCTAGCTTCCGTTGAGCCAAGACTCCAAGCCTGCCGGCGGTGTGTTTGATAAGCAAGCGTCAGAGAGGCGTTTAAGACAAGCTAGCACCAAGCGGGGACTCTCCCGAAAACAATCAGAAGGGCTGAAAAAGAACTGAAAATTCAGTGACTTGCTCATGAGACGTCAGGTACCTGGGGAAATGCCTGGTTCCTCCCGTGGGTCCGTGTCCCATACTGTTGGTTAAATAATGGCCTGGCAGCATTGCACACCAATACTGACTTTGATCTCAGGGACCCAAAAAGATTGTGTGAGGCCAGCTCTTCCTCCAGTAATTTCAGCCAAGAGAAGCACCTGGGGCCTGGGCACCTGCAGGAGGTATCAGCATAGGCCCCCAGGATGCTCCGTTAGGCACCAGGATTTACATCTTTAGTGAGATTTGAGTGTCCGATAGGTCCCCACATCTAGCAAAACCGCATTTCTTTATCTTCCATATTTGATAAAACAAGGTGAAGCAGAACATAAAATAGCCATTTAAAAGTGAACGATTCAGAGGCATTTAGTCCATTCTCACTGCTGGACAGCCACCTCCTCTATCCAGTTCCAGGACATTTTTGTCATCCCAAAGGGGCACTCTGCATCCATCAAGCAGTCACTCTCCGTCCTGCCTTCCCCTCAACCGCTGGTAATCACCAATCTGCTTTCTGTCTCTAGGGATTTACCTGTTCTGGACATTTCATATAAAAAGATTCAGACAATATGTGGGGGATTTTCGTGAATGGCTTTTCACTTAGCATTGTGTTTTCAAGGTTCACCTACGTCTTAACATGTGCAAACACTCCATTCCTTTTTAGGGCCGAGTAATATTCCACACAGGGACGTACCACATTTTATCTTTTCATCCGTTGGTGGTGAATTTCTTTTTAAACAGATGGCCACATTTTTCCAGTAGACAACACTGATATCTTGAAGTATGTTCTGGAAAGGAATAAATTGCCTATCTGTCCAAATAGGCTGTGAAGTTTGTCCTGCTTTTTAATTTTTAAAAAATTTTTAATAATTAAAGTACAGTCAGTTACAATGTGTCAATTTCTGGTGTACAGTGCAATGTCCCAGTCATGTATATATGTATATATATATTTTTTTCATTAGTTTATTACAAAATATTGAACATAGTTCCCTGTGCTATACAGAAGAAACTTTAAAAAAATGTATTTTTATATGCAGTGGCTAACATTTGCAAATCTCAAACTCCCAGATGTATCCCTTCCTACCCCCTTTCCCTGGTAACCGTAAGATTGTTGACTACGTCTGCGAGTCTGTTTCTGTTTTGTAGATGAGTTCATAGTGTTGTTTTTTTGATTCCACATAGGAGTGATATCATATGGTATTTTTCTTTCTTTTTCTGGCAGTTTGTCCTGCTTTTAAAAAATGTTTTAAGCACTTCTTCAGAGAAGAAAATAGGATGAATGGTGGCAATAGCTACAGCATCCAATGAATGGCCACTGTGATTATATTATGATTATTTCATTCAGTGTTTATGGCTCAGTGGCCTGCTCTCTGCCAGGCACTGTGCTCAGCCTGACATATGAAGCCTTATTTGACCCTTGCAATCACCCTTAGATTGTATCATGCCTTTTCGTAGATGGCAAAGTTGAGGCTCAGAGAGGTTAAGTGCCCAAAATCATCACACAGACCCTGATCTCGAGTGTCTCACAGCCTGGGGATGAGAACACAGACACAGAATGGGTTGAAGTGTCCCAGTGGAGAAAGAAGGGGACAGAGGGCTACAGGCATCCGGGTGGGTGACACTAGCTTGGCCAGCTGCTTCGTCTTCAGTTAGGATGATGGTGGAAGCAGTCCCTGATCCTTCTGAGCAAAGAGAATTTATACCACAAGGTTCTCCTCCCGTGAAAAAGGGATCGTTGGGAATCTGGGTGTGTTTCTAAGCCCACACTTCAAAGCCCGAATGTGCACCCGCGTTTCCTAGGGATGGTGCGAGCTCTGGTGATGGAGTTCTGGGGTGGGGCCTGAGAGTCTGCATTTCTACCCCTCTCTCAGATGCTGCTTCTGCTGCTGGTCCATGGACCACAATTTGAGTAGCAAGGGGCTAGAGGCTCTGAATTCAGATCCTGGCTCTGCTGTAAGTTCTCTCTGGCAACTTAGGCTAGTCTCTTGCCATCTCCGAGCCTCAGTTTCTTTCCCTGGTCAGTGAGGGCATTGCCCTCCATCTGGAACATTCTCGGAAGAATTAAAAAAATGAGCGGTGTCGTCACTTTCTGCGTGCTTGCCAAAAAGCCACGGACACCTGCTGGGGTGAGGGATTTCCTCCCAAAGCCCCCAGGAGTCCATCAGCAGGTGCTAGGGGTGGTTCTGAGCCCTGGCACAAATGCAGAAAGAGGAGGCCAGAGGAGGCAAGGCCCGGGAGAAGCAGCGGGAGAGGTTTCCGTTCATCACAGAAATGGCCCATTTGCAATGATCGGTTGCCCAGGTGTTAATAACGCTAATGGCATAGGAAGGGTAAACTCGGTCACTTGGCTGAACAGAAGAAATATGCAGAGAAGTGCTCGGGTTTCCATAAATCAGCCGTGTGCGGCGCTACCAGGGAGGCAGGACTTAAAATTCTGGTCAGGAGATGGGTATTCTCATAATCTGAGCTGGAGAGGTAATTTATTCTGTTTATATCTTTTTACTGCACGACAAGGCTTGGGAGCAGGAGCCCTCCGCAGCCATTCTGCATTTTAAATATTAGTCCTAAGCACAGTGGGCCAGATCTCCGGCTTGGGCTCTGTGGGGTGTTCCTTTCAGGGCAGGAGGACAGGGATGGGGGTCAGGGAGAGCATGCATGTGGGGGGTGGGGTGGGGCTGGAATCCATGTGGTTTCACTGTCCCATGTTGGCCAGAATTACATCCTAGGGGCAGCGAGGGAGAGGCCAAGCCCCCCTCTTTTCCCAGAGCTGGAGGACACAGCCAGGGGCTGGCTGACCTCCTTACCTGCACAGCTCAGAGCAGTTTTTTTTTTCCTCCCGGAGATCTTTTATTTTTAAATGCTAATAAATACAGGCGATGAGGAGATACAGGAGATGAACAGATACATTAATGGAGGAGGAAAGAGACAAGCAAGAAAGAAGCAAGGGCAAACATGGGGAAGCTGAAAGTCCTCTGTCTTTTGACCTTGACAATTTTCATTGTGCCCTTTGCCCTTCTGGCTGGCTTTGTTTAACCTCTTAGGGGGTTTTAAACAAAATCCAGTGAGTTCGCTATACTAGTAAGAATTAGTCTTCATTAGAGTCTTTCTTGAATCTCTTTTTCATGGCAGCTGGAGTGCATTCATTTCATTTATTCGTTCATTCATTCATTCCTTCATGTAGTTGCAAGACACGGAATGAGACTTTAGCTGTGCTGGACTCTGTCCTGGGTCTAGGGACAATGTGGGCTCTGGAAGCAGTTCTTTGTTTTTTGTTTTTTTAAATTTATATTTCTTTTTTTTCCTCGGGGGGAGGAGGTAGTTAGGTTTGTTTGTTTGTTTATCAGAGGTGCTGGGGATTGAACCCAGGACCTCGTGCGTGCTAAGCACGTGCTCCGCCACTTGAGCTATGCCCTCCCCTCTCTGGAAGCAGAAGTTCTTGATTCAAAAGTTGGCTCTGCTGTTCCATGGCGGTGTGTCCCCCAGGCACTCATGTCACTTCCTGGGCCTCAGTCTCCTCATCTGTAAGATGGGATAACAGAGCTCATCTGGAAGGGGTGGTGGTGTGAAGGTCAACTTAGACTTTGGACAAGACTTTGTCGGGTGGAGGTCCTGCAAGTTTGGGAGGTGTTGGAAGCAACTGGGGAGCTTGACAAAGGTGAAGCATCTTGGGCACCACGCCAGAGAGCAGTTCCAGCCACCTGCTGTGGGCCTGGGGACATGTAGTTTTAGCAATCCTTGTCCTCTGATTGCACTTTGAGAACATGGTTGTGAGTGTCTAGGGACACATGTCCCTTCCAACTCTCTCCCTTCTCTATCCAGCCTTCCTTAGGAGCTGCCTCCCTTACTATGTACACTCAAGGCCATGACTGTGACACTTGCAGGGCACTGCCACGGGGTGCGATGTGAATGGGATCTCTCCTCCCAGAGCCCCTCGGCGCTGCAGGCACTTGGGGAGTCGAAAGGAGCACATGGGTGGGGGAGTGGATTTGAGCTGATGTTGACAAGGGTCCCTCTCTCACCTTGTCATCCTCCAAGGAAGCTGGGGGATGTGTGCGTGTTTGTGTGGAGGAAAGGGGTAAAATTGAACCCAAGACCTAGATTTCCTGAACTTTTGGCCACAGGTTAAACTGCATCTCTCCAATGGGGATGAAGTGCCATTGTGCACCCATTTCACAGTGAAGCAAACTGAGGCTCAGGAAGGTAATGCAGTGACCAGTCAGATAGTCTCCCGGACCCCAGGGCCCTTGCTCTGTGCTCTGTTCTGCCCCCATCCTACTCCTAGGTGACCTCTGCTCCCAACACTCCTTACTCACAAACGCTCAGAGGAAAAGCTCTCAGGGAATTAACCTCAAGTACTGATCATGACCCTCAGAGATCAGCACCCCTCCTGGAATCTGGTTTCTGGAGCCACCGCCTGAGATCTTGATGTGGCCACTCCAGGATTATTTAAGTATTCCCTGACGCAAGAGTGATCCTCCCCGACTCCTGGTGCTCCCAGACTCAAGTTGTGGGCATGCCAAGGGCAAGTCTATGCTGCGTGTAAACCTGTGTCTATACGATGTCTAGTTTCAAAATGAAAAGGGAGGGGAAAAAAAAAGTTTGGGAGGAAACACATCCACGACTTGAGATTCTGGGTGATTACACTTTCTTTCTTTTGTGTATCTGAAATTTCTAGATTTTCCACAGTTAGCAAGTAGCATCCGTCTGATAAAGACAAATGCACTCTAAGGGGAGAGAAGAAAAAGCCAGGCCACCGCGCACTCTTCTTGTAATGCCCACATAAAAGAAGGACAGATGAGTCGGGCTTGGGGGGTGGGGGCAGCATTCTGTGGTGGTTCACTTCCCTCTGGCTCCCTAGTTTCCCCTCCTTTTCCTCCGGCTGCGAAAATGGGCCAGCTCCCCCCACCCTAAGCTTGGGTGAAAAGGCACCCAAATTCAGGATGCTCTTCCATTTATTTTTTTCTTCCTTATCTGTGTTTCTGATCCTACAGTGTTTGAGCTGAAAGGGATGAGCGATAGGAAGTGTCCACTCCCATCTCCACTTTTGAAAGTAGGGACACCGAGGCAAGGAGAGGATGGACTTGCCTTTAGGTAGTGGCCTCAGGCCCTTTAAATCTCATCCAAGACCCCTTCCACCCTGCTGGTTTTATCTAACAACACAAGCAGGCACAGTGGGAGAACTGCAGGGCATTGCTCTCCCAGGGGGCACTTCTGCCCTAACATAGCCTTGCAGATAACTATGTGCCCGCCTACCAGCCTGTTTTTGGTTTGTTTTTGTTTTTGTCACCTGGAATTACATAGGGGCATAAATCAGGAGTGAAGCTAGAATTCTTCTGGGGACAAACAAATCACACATCTGTTCATCAAATATTTTGAAGGCCTACTATGTGCCAGGCGGGCTGGTGTATTACATAAAGCATGGTGAGATACAGTGCCAGGTGCATAGTATCTGTCAAAAAAATAGCAGGCACTTTCCTTCTCTGCGAATTACCAGAAGAACTCCCCCTGCTAGATGAGGAGAAGTCTTTACACCCATCAAGTCTGTTTTATGTCGAAAACAAGAACCAGCATAAAGAATAGTTCTATTCACTCTGAGTGACTATGAAATCAGGGGCAAGAAAAGAAAACCACACAGCACGGAGGGAAAAAAGAATTTTTTTATTAATCTTTCTTTTTAAAAAAGTTGCTTATTTTTTTTGTTTTTGTTTTTTTTTTAGGTAAACCTCTTTCTGCCTCCCCTCCCTCATTCTGCCCACCCTCCTCTTAAAAATATAAAAATGTCCAATCCCAGATAACTAGAGTACAATAAATAAACAGTAAACACAAAAACATACTTTATTTGTTTCTTCTTTATACAAAATAAGGAAACTAGAAGCGTTCAACTTCCAAAAAAGTATAATACTGTACATCTTGACCGCCCAGCCTCCAGGACCCGGGCAGGGAGGGTGGTCTGTGGGCCAGAGCCCAGAAATCTTGGCGCCTTGCCCAGGGGGAGAGCAGGGTGGGCGAGTGTTCAAGTCTGGCCGGGACCCCCAGGCTCAAAATTAATGTCAAAGGAAAGAAGAGGTGGGGGTCGGGCCTCCGAGCTGGCGAGGTACGGACCGCCCCCTCTTCCTGGAAAAGCTGACCTTGATTCTCGAAATTGGCCACCAGGGGGCGCCAACGCGCAGGTGGCTCTGTCTTCCTCCCAGCGACACCCCCATTCAAGAGTGTTTCTCACCCTCTCCATCTTCTCTCTCTGTCTCTGGCTGGCGCTCTCTTCATCTTCTAACTCATGTTGCTCCCTTTCCTCTCTCTCCCTTCAATCTCTCTCTTTCACTTATCTTTTTTTTTAAAGACGGGAAAGCAGAGTGAGAAATAAGATTACAAAATGCCAGTCGGATTGCAGAGAAGGGAAAAAAAAACGTCTCCGCCCCTTGGCCTCAACCCTCTCTTGGTCCAAAGACGTGGTGGGTGGGTTGGGGGATCGAGGGAAGTCTAGAGCGTGCTTGAAATCCCTCGACCCTCCGGAGAATTCACTTTGGTCCCAACAAATTGCTCGCGGCTGCTGGGAGAGCGCTGGCAGCGGGCCGGGGGTCCCGGAGAGCCAGCGGAGTGGATGGAGATGGGGGTCGGTCCCTCGCGGCGCCCAGGAGCAGCTGCCGGTTGAGTGCGGACCCGAGAG